AAAAAAAAAACCTACACACAATGAAAATGATCCTTGAGTGAAATTGTAAAAAGCAATAAAAAACCATTATGAACCTTCATGTAATTACATTTTTCAAATATATTACATATCCATCTCAAAGTAGATGAATACATCCAGCGTTCACTTTCTGCAAAAAGTTAGCGGAACACTCAGACACTTATGTGTATGTGAAGGGATTACACATACATAGGTAGTTCATGTGTCAGTGATTGTGCATGTAAGGGGAGGGAGCAGGAAAGATGTGCAGCCTTTAGTCTACTTGTGAAGGTGCTGCTCCCACATTCGACTGGTACTGATCGGAATAACCATGGTACTAATCAGTACAGCTGGCCTCTGAAAATCTCCTCCAGACAGCATCTGAATTTGACCTAGCAACATAACTATCAAAAATTGGCCATTGCAGGAACTCAAACACTAGAATGTCCCGATCAGAGCTGCTGCAGGGACAGCAGCAATGCCTTCTCTGAGCCTGTGCAGCCTAATTCTACCATTACTTTAAAGCAAACAAGTAATTCAGATTATATATTTTATCTAGAATTAAAATTACATAAATCTCTCACAAATGAACTCCTCAGTTTTAATTGAAAATTGACAGTATTACAAAAAGAGGTATATAATATTATAGATAATTGAATTTTCTGTATTTTTAAATACCCATTTTTTGCTTCTATGCATTCAAATTGATGTTTACAGCACATTCTCTTAGTGATTCAGTACGTGTACAGTACTATCTAGCCCTTCAGAAAATAAAAAAATAAAAAATTGTAATTCAATAATGAAAAAGTATTCTATAAATATAATATTTATTGATGGAGATGCCAGTAATAATAATATCTGTATCCACAAGTAAATAAATAATCAAAAACAATATTTGCTTAAGCGAAGAATGGAACTTCTATATTCAGATCAAATCACCAACAAAAAATACAGAAGATAGAAACACAAAGTATGTTTTTGTTGTTGTTTTTTAAAATTCGCGTCAAGTCTTAGTACAAAATTGTTTATAACATTAAAATTGTTATAAAAGCAGTCTCTAACAAAATTATACAAAAAGATGTACCTTATAGGACACAATCATATAACTTTGATAAAAATCATATTGCATTATTTTACACAGTTGATTTTAAGTATTTTTTTGCTATCACCAAGTAGTTGCTATTCATTTTGACAAATCTAACCCACTGGTTGAATTAAAGCATCAACATATTTTATTTTTAAGAAAACCAGTAACTGCATTATTGTTTCAATATGATTCAATTTATTAATAAAATCCCAGAGGCAGTAATGTACAAAAAATGTAATAAAAGTCATAAAAACAATGATCCTAAAAATCAATGTCCTAAATAATCTAGATTGGGTATTTTAGTGAAACACGATAAATGGAAAAGGCAATTGGTTACTGAAGATTGGAATTGAAAATAAAACATGGGAGAATTTACCTTTACTAGAATGTTTACAAACAACCATAAACTTCTTTTCTTCCTTTTCCTTTGTGTTGCTAACTAACTGTCCACTTCCTACAGCTTTTATAGCGCTATGCAGTTTTCTACGATCATCTTTATTCATTTCTGTCACCTATCAATAAAAAACTGACATTACTACCTACACTTCAACAATAATAATTTCTGGGAATAAATTAAAATAAAATTCATTAAAGAAAATAATGGGTATTTAATGTAATGTAGTAGTCTTTGTTGATAATTTCACACGAGAATAAAAGTTATTTGTTCAAATGGTACCAGTTTTCGAAAAAGACTTTTGAAACAGGTATGTCAGTAGTTAACTCATAATTTCTCACAATCAAATAGTTTTTTCAGCCCCGAGTAATACTCAAAGTTTCATCTTTTATAATCAATTTTGAGAAGTTCAAAATTATAATATTTATATTATAATGGGGATAACCTGTCGAAAATCACAGGAGAAAATCAAAGTCCCATTTTTATAATAAATTGTAATGTAATGATACAAGTGGCATACAAAAGGGAATCAAAATGGTTCACATTCCCTTTTATCGATCAGACCACGTCTGTTAAACACAAACAATAATATTATCTTTCAGAGTAGAGAAATTTCTGAACGCATTCCTTTTGTTTCTATGACTGTCATGGGGCCACCAAAAGGGATTTTTGAAAACACACACACCAGCAGCCTCAAGAGAACCAGCAGTTCTTGAATGACAAGCTTCCGAACATTATGAAAGAAGTTTAAAGAAATGGTGTATTTATTTATTTCAAAAATAAATACTGTCAATATGATTCACGCATTTACTAAATAATATATCACTTTCATAATAATAGTTATTTACAATGTAAACAATACAATAAGAGATTGGAAAATTGCCAAACGAGGCCATTAGGCCAAGTTTTGTAACCAAACACAAATTCTCAATGTTTCATACACTTTGTAAAAATCTGTTATATTTAATGAGAAATTTTATCTCACACCTTCATTTAGTATTCACTTTTTTTTTCTCCTGAAAGTGAGAGAATATAGTTCTGATTCGGAAATAGAAATAGCAGCAAATACTGTTACAGAAAGATTGTTACCAAACAAATATATGCGTGAGAATTATTAATTTTTAAAGAATGGTGTGAAAAAAGCTTTCATACCATATCAGAAAAATGTTTTGATTGCTTACATGCCTGGCAAGTCAGGAGAAACTAAATAGTCTTTGTACCCACTACTCTACGTTAAAGAGTACAAAATCACTTAATGACAATACTGATATAAGATAGTTTACTCACTTATTAGAGGTTTTGAAGAGGGAAAGTGAAGGATATAAGACAAAGAAGTCCAAAATATTTACAAATGAAGAGTGGCAAAATACGACATTATTTATTACACTAGGGAAAAACTGATTATAATGGCACAATGTTTGACTTCATTTAACCAAAGTGGATAAATAATGTAAAGAAATTGTATTGAAAAAATATTATAAAATATAAACAATAATTTAGATACAGATTTTCATCCGCAAAATGAGGAATTAATGTGAAATTAGAAAAAGAAATACTTTAGCGTGTTGTGTATAAAATAAGTCAAATAAGAGAATTAGAGGATTGTCAGAACTCTAAGCTCTCAAAGATAGCAGCTTATGCAATATTAAAGACAAGTATATACTCCGATATATACGGTCATCCAATGGGAAGTGGGAAGCTTCATTATCACTTAAATGTATGGTATTGGAGCGACGGATTGAATGTCCTCCTCTCCTTCCAGCACGTGAAATTAAAGTGCCCCGAGATATAAATCGAAATAGTAATAAATAATTATTAGCTCATCAAAACCACATTCAAGTGAGCGGGCGGTGTATAATATACCTGACAGACACATCGCATAAAATTATGGAAGTAATGCTCCAATATAGATTTTAATGTAACTTAGTTTTCATTAATTTGAATTGCTTAAATTTTTACTGTATATTCGTATTTTGAAATTTGGAAATTACATTTCCTTTATTCAATGCAGGTGCAACCTTCAATCTTTTGGGGCACAGGTCGCCACTGATAAACTAGTGTAAAATGCCAAAACAAACGTGCTTGTGGCAAAGTGCAAGAGTGTGAATTGAATTGAATTGAATTTGCCTTATTTTACGTGGCGAGACTCGGGCCATCAGGCCCGCTCTTCCGTCTGACCACGCAAATTTCTTTACGCTCTATTTCAGCAACTAGGAGAGAAAGGAGGTATTTCTTGGGCGAGAAACAGGCGATTTGAATTTAGCTCAGAGGCATCATTTAGGCTTGAGGATCTTTTACATGCAAGTAAATCTACAAACATTAGACAGCAGGCTTTACTTCCCCTCCAAAAGAAGGCGTACGAAGGATTTTTTCGCCCTTAAAAATCCACGGCTTCGATCAGGTTTGAACCTGCCAACTTGGGTACAACAGTCCAGTACGCTAACCGTTACACCATCGCCGCCGCCATGTGATCCCCACATTTTGGAATCCTGATTTGTGATTAATTTTGAACGAGTCAATTTTATCTGTAATTGTTTCAATACACATCTAATATAAAAAACACGCATCCATTGCAAATCTAAGCCATATGGAAATGATTTGTTTTGGGATCTAACCAGAAGATTCCAAGAAATTTCTCCAAAAATGTGCGTTTGTGTTTTTTAGTGCTACGATCTAGCATGTACCACCTAACACAACACCACTGCCGGGGTCACCTCCACTAGCAGCTGTAACGATAAATGAAATGCCAGTAAGGCGGCCCACAACACCCAGGTGACGAATAACACATGTTGGTACAGATTGTATCGCATGTCACCGCTTTTTATAGAATGCAGTCTGTGCTTGATAAGGAAAACGTTCATCGTTAGTGTTCCACACCCTCAGATAGTTATCTTTTGATGAGATAAACTTTATTACATGCAGTATTTAAGATCCTGCTAATGGAATAATCCCCTTTGTAGAATCATTTTAACTACAAAATTATATTTAATAAACATGGGTTAAGCCAATGTTTTAGCAGAATCAAAAATAATAAATTTATTTAAAGTCTAAATATTACATTTTTTCAAAAATACTCTCCATTAGTACATCTACACTTTTCAATCCTTTGGAACCACTTTCAAAAGGTGTTGCTTCGTGTCTCTTCAGGAATGGTATTTACAATACGAATGTAGGCTTCCACAGCTTCGTCATCTGAAGAAAAGCATTGTCCTTGGATCTTCTGCTTGGTTTGGGAGAACAAAAATCAATCACAAGGGGCCAAGTCGGGCGAATGGTGCAACAATCGCACATGTTCATTGTTGAGAAAGTCGACTGTTGCAACCGTGTACGCAGGAGCATTGTTGTGGTGCAGCAAAATGTGACTTTGCTTGGACATTGGACACTTCAATGGTGTGATGACTATCGGCAAGCATTGTGTGACATACCACTCAAACACAGTACATTGGTTGTCTGTACATTGGTTGTCTGAGTAGTCAATGACCTTTCTTTGTACAAGGAAAAAAAATGTAACAATTTTCTTTCTGCAGCTGTGACCCCTCTTCACCTAGGAGGATTGGTCCTCGACTGGAAAGCACCAAAAACTTTAAATTTCAGGTTTGTAGAGGTAATCCCATAATTCATTGCATGAAAGAATGTTGAAAACGTCCTTAGACCTCCTTCAATCAAGTTTTTGAAGCATGAATTTGGATTTTTGCTCTTCCGTTAATGAATGTGACACCCAGGGAGCACATCGCTTGGCGAGTGTCAAATGTTGATGCAAATAGCTTGTGCTGCAGTCGACTCGATATTTAGAGTCTGTTCAATGTCAGCAAATGACAAGTGAGAGTCATCTGCCACCATTTTTCTCAGTGTTAATGTTTTCTTCTGGCACTGCTGTGGCTGGACGTCCAGAATGCAGTTCATCTTCTAGAGAATGTCTTCCTCTCGAAAATTTTCGAAACAAACAAAAACTATCGCTCAAGACATTGCAGATTCACCAAAAACAAACATCAAAGACCTGAGGCATTCTTCAGCGGCACTTAAACCATTTATAAAAATGGTACAAAATCAGGGCACAAAATTCACGGCATGAGACATCTATCTCAGAGCACAGCAAGTGGGCAAGAGGCTGTTTCATCCCTCCTTTCGCTTGAGTCCCCCACCCCTTCCCCCAACTCTTTGGGTTAAAGGTTAGAAAAAAAAGAACTTTCAGGTGCTGCCAAATTCCTCCTACGGTCACTGCTTAAAACCTTCAGCATGTCCTCCGCATATCCATTAGAATGGTAAGATATGTTGTAGTAAGAGCTGGTAAATAGACAAATTTTCTTTAATAACCTACCCAATAATACATTAAAAGAATATTCTCTTCAGAAAAACTATTTTGGGAGTGCCCAGATTACATTCTCCAGCACCGTATTCAGGGACATAGCCGTAGCTCAAACGATCAACCGTCAAGAAAAGTTGCGCTACACATTTTTGAATATTTTTGCTTCCTTGTACGTGTACTTACATAAGGAGGAATAACCGTAATACAGAGAATAATCAATGATTTTTCAAAGAATTAATAAGCATATTTAATTAACTAAACGAAAGAAATATTAAAAGAAGAAACATTGAAATGTTAAAAGTTAATTTTTACTTTCCTGTATACATACGTATATACAGAGTAATATACATAGTATAGAGAAAGTATGTAATGCTGCGTAAAATCGATTTTGAGATTTCAAGGGAAATACACGTTTCGGGGTCCCCTGGTACCAAAAAAATATGTTTTCTTCTTCTTTTTCCCCCCGAAATGTATGTTCTTCTGTAAACATCACTAGTGCCATAAACCATTTATGGAGGTCACTTTCAAAATTTTCTCAAAAATGGCTCAAACTTTTTCTTTGAACTTAAGGTAGGGATAGTGCAATATTAGGGACAGGGATATTGCAACTTTAAATGACATAAAAGTAATTTTTCTGTATACGTTTGTTTTTTGAAAAATTAGAAAAAAAAATTTGACTACCCCCTCTTGTCATCAATATTAACATTAGCAGCTGTTTCTTCACTATTGCATTTACGACAACAAGTGCTTCAAATTATGTTTTATAAAGTTTTATGAAAACTAAATCTTCCATCAGTTTCAAAAAATGTTCATGACTTGAAATAACTAAATATGGAGAACAAATTTACTTTGAAGGAAAAATCTTTGTATTCAATTTTATAGTTGTAGTAAGACACTGAAAAAATTCAAACATTTGTAATTTTTAAAAATTCAGAGTTAACAGTGAAAATTGGACCTGTGCACCCTCTATAAGAAAAATTAAAAATGTACATAAGGCTTTATGTAAAGTATCTCTAAAAATTTATCAATGCTTTTTTTCAAAATCCAGAGCTTTTGCTCAGGCCAGATCATCAGAGTTTACTCAGTTAGTAAAAATCCTATGCAATACTTTCAGTGCTACTGCTCTTCCATACACTCAGGGAAATGAACATCTGAAGGAAAAAAAATACAAAGAAAAAAAAACAACACTTCTCGCAACAATGGACCTGAAAACATGAAATTTCTTTTGAGATCTCAAATGAATTTTCCAGCGCTTTCGTAACCTTCCATTACTAATAATTACTCATATATACAAATAAATAATATTAATAATATACAATAAACAATAAAATAATAATAATAATTAATAATCAATAATATAAAGAAAAAACATATCATCCACGTTTTCTCCCCTTTTATCACATTTATCACACACAACAAAGAAACTTTGCAGGCAACTCTCAACATTTCCCTTTTTTTTTTTTTAATTTGATTTGAAGGTTCTGTTTTTAGGCAGACATTCATTCACATAATTTTTTATTTAAAATCTTAAAACCTTTAGACCAAAAGAGTTTAAATAAAAAATATTAAGTGAATGAATGCCTAAAAAAAAAAAGGACCTTCAAATCAAGTCTCAAAAAACATAAAAGAAAGGCAGTCTTATTCTCACTGAGTAATTTTAAAATTTTCTCTCAAAACAACTATAAAGAGTTTACTCTGTATTTCCAACATACCTCAATTTCAACGTTCTTATCCTCATCTTCTGATTGCTCAAGAAGTGCTTTAATTTTCTCAAATACTTCAACAGATACAACTGATTTAAGGTGTTCCTCATGGTCTAGTTTTTCATTTCCCGGGGGAACTATGAACAAAAATTATGAATTACAACAAATAAATGAACACCCACACTTGTGGTCAAATATACACCAAATGCATAATATTACATGTGGCAATTTGACAAAACCACATAAAATGTTTCCACATCAGTGAACAATACTGTTTAAATTTTTATAATAGGACAAAATTTGAAAAATAATTATGGCCAATACAACTAAAGCATGCACATTGTAAAAAAATTTAACAATAACACAAATAAAATTATTTTAATACACTTAGTTTTGTCAGCACATGCTTAGCTCCATAGTAACCAACCAACTAAACAACACTAAGAGCTTGTTCACACCAATGGCCGCTAAAATGCTCACGAGTCCATTAAAAATATTTTAGCGAACTCTCAGTTTAGATTGTATCAGTGCTCTCTTAAATCTTTGGATAAATGTCCCATCCCTTTTGTATCATTTCATCCCCTTTTCTGTGATCCCCTTGGCTCATTTTGTTCCCTTGTCCCAAGATCCATGTTGTCCCGTATTGTCCCCTTGCCCCTCGTCTCATTTTGTTCTCTTGTCCCCTTGCCTCACCCCCTCTGTCGTAACTTGTCCCTTTCTCCCCATTTTGTTCCTTTCTTCCCCCTTTCCAATTTTGTCTCCACTGGCCCATTTAGTCCCCATGCACTCTTCATCCTTTCTCCTTTGTCTCACTTGTCCTTCTGCAGACTGTGATTGTCATTTAAAAATGGTACCCAGACCCTGCACCAACCCTTTCTACAGAACATCAAGAGTGATGACACTTCTTGAAAGTGTTAAATGTTTTATCGGTCACATGCATCTTTAACCCTGTTAACACAACCCTATAGGTTTGTTAAGTGCGCTTGTGCCTACCTGTATGTTAAGAAATTTAACATCCTCAGCTATGGGTTTTAATGTCCTTAGCAATGTAAGTAAACAACCACCAATTCATCGCAAGTCAAATATTTATTAAAAAAAAAAAGATGACGTTTTGAACACATCAAATTCAGAATACGGACTAATTTAGAGGATGTTCCAGAAATAAGTATTTTGGAAACTGTGCTGCACAAGCCAAATGTCAAAGTGCTCAAAAAATGTATTCTGAATTTCAGAGCAATTTCAAGTATAAAGGACTTCTGAAAGTTGTACCTCATACCGTACTTTAAACTCGCACTGTTTCACTTAGTCTTCTGATCTTTCCAGATCAATTTTCAGCAGTTAGACATTCACACACAAAAATGTACAATTAATCATATTCTTTTGCTTGTTGAGAAAAGAACAAACCTTTTGCTGCTGGAAGTTCAATGCTTGTCAGAGTAACAATGGTACCATTACCCTCTATCTCGTTCACTTGGAAGTCAGAATATCTCTGTTTTATTATTCCATTGAAACCTTCATGATTACTTATGTATTCTGTAATTCCCACATCCGTTTCTTTCAACCTGCTCAAGTACTGTCCTTTACTCCCATCTCTCCCATTATTAAATGATGCTTTGTTCACATTTATCTTGTGAAAATGTTTTTTGTTTGAGGAAAAATCTTTTCGTGTATGGTGAAAAGGTTTTCTGTTTCCACGATGTTGTGACTTTCCCCGAAATTTTCTGTTCATTCTGGAACTTCTGTAATACAAGTAAATACAAATACTTTAAAAATCCATTAAAGAAAAAAATATTAAGAATTGTAGCATATTTTCTTACCACAAAGAAAACAAGTGTCTCTGTATGATATCAATCATTATAGTACGTTATACAATTCAATATTACAACTATTTATGATAATTTGATTTTAAAATGTAACTATAATTAAACACACAACCATTCATGGAGATATGAAAGATTATTAGTAAACAATTCATGCAATTTGACTACAATATATAGGCCTACTACAAACCTTTATGAAGTCATAAAATGCTATTGACTATTCAATGTGCTACTGTTCAGCAGTCAACATCAATAGCAAAAAATATCATTTTTATGCTAGTTAATAAATACTTCAAAAAATAATTGAAGTCTGGGCCACTCAATACTGATCCCATAATGTGCGTAATGTTATGACTAGTTGGTTATCAACCAATTAATACATATTCTTAGAGTATACATTTACATCAAAACGGTAATACTTCAAAAATGATTTTGGGGCAAATATTTAATTTCCCGGTCAGAAGCAACTGATAATAGGATTCTAATACAATTTTCCTGTTCATTTCAACTACTGTTTGGAGCAGAGTGATTTTTAATAAATAAAGGTCTCTGAGTTTACAACTGTCACCACTTATTCCAGGCATAGAGCCATGGGGAGGGAAATTTTCTCTGGATCTTTTTATTCATTACCAATGGTGAAAGAATAATAATCCCCCTACGAATAATACAGAAATAATAGCAGATTTGTTAGTCTCAATACTTAATTATTAATTTTTCAGTGATTAATATTAATTTATTTACAATTATTCATACTACAACATACAGAACAATGGGTTTGTTTTTCTAATATCTAATAGTTGGAGCACATAATAAAACATTAATTTGGTGATCTGCAGATTTTTTAAAAATTCCCTTTTGTTGGTCTACATGCTTTTCAAACCTACAGTGGTCATAGAAGTAGTGAAGTTTATGGAATAGTGTCCTGAAAATCCTTTCAAATCACAGGAAAAGATGTAAGGATATCACTTTATCACTTAACCTATTAAAGGTAATTAACATAACATTACGTATTTTTCAAACCCTTTGATAACGGTGAATAAAATTAGATCCTCATTAAAATGAAGCTCTGGGCAGCAATGGCAGTAAAACTATCACAATACACGAACACACAGGAAACAGAAAACCAAAAATACAATAGTAGTGATATTCAATGGTTATTACTATTTACAAATAATTACGCGAGAATGTATTACAATCAAATTTCACAAAACTCCTACCCGTCCGAAGAGTACTTGTCACAAGCACGCAGGAACCGGCAACTAACTTTTAAACACCTGCTCGCTGAGTGCCTTCTGCGGCTCTGCCTTCCTTTACGCTTGCTGCTTGAGTACTTCAAGAGAACACGTGGATTCCATGATTTCTTCCAAGGAGTTTATATTATACTGCGATTTATGCAAATTTGCCCCTAGCAGGAATCAGCAGTTGACGGGTTCATCCAATCGGGATCGCAGTATTTTTTCTAACTCAGCCCCTCAAGGCCCTACTTCACGGTGGCATTATTTCAGTTTTCACGTCTTCCCCAGTCATGCAGCATCATGCAGTAATATACTCTCTGGTCAATGACCAGTGGTCATGCCAGAGAGTATATTATGGGTCATGCCGCTAGGGCTCTCTTGATCGCGACAGTACAGCATCGCTGGATACGGTGGCGATCATGCGATATCTAGCGGCACGCTGAGAAAGATGCGAAATGACGTGTATTCCATCGTAAAGACCCAGAAATAAAAACCCAAGTACGGGCCCTGCTTTTCCAATGCTGAGTGCGGCTTTAAGAAATAGTGCTTAGACTTTTTCGATTCTTTTTATGTCACTGAATTTAGTTTGTTTCATATCATACTTTCCCCCTATGTGACGATTGGCGAAACTGTTGTTTCAAATAGGATTTTTGCAGTAGTAGCGACAGTTTTGTGATGTTCGTGATGCTGAATATTGCTTTTGTAACGGTTGTGGTTTTATCTTAAATGTGTTGGCTGAAATATTTACCTGTAGATTGTAGGGTCATGCCAAAGTATTTAAAATTAGGTTCATCTTAGGTTCGCCGGGAATCAGCACCCTTCTTCTGTTTTGGCGCTGTCTCGCCCGGGAACCTGTGTCCTTCGCCCTTTCCCCTTTCTTCCAACTTCCTCTTCTCTCGTCTCTCATTGCCGTCATTGTCAGATTTCATCCTACGTCTGGTGAATCCTTCTATTTTTAGTAAAATCTCGCCTGCGACGCGTGCATTTGTCTGCGCCTCCGACGCACTTGTCAAGTCTTGCGCGGAGGTTTCCCTATGCCAAGTCTGCGCCAATGAGTATATATCGTCTGCACAAAGAGTATATATGGTCTGCACAGCATTTCTGGCTTCGAGAGCCGCACTCGAGCCACTTAAGCGCAAAAACGGAGAAATTTGAAGAGTGGGGATTAGACAAATTAGAACGCGCAATTTGAACCATAGCGCGTAATTTAAAAGAGCAATCGACGAGAACATGACGCTCACCTACAGTTCAAGTAGTATTGCCTTTTGTATTATATTGTAAATTTTTGTTGTAGAGAAATGACTAAGTGAAATATCAAACTACAACGAATTATACACATTTGATTTGGACACCAAATATTATAGTTGCCTCTAGTGCTGATAATGTAATTCGCTTTGCTACGATGTAATCACAAATATGTTTAGCTAAACACAAAATTATGCTCCTGTGTTGTTTTTGTTTGAAGATGACAGCCATAAACTGTTTATTTATTAACAACGGGTAGGTTTAATTGAATAAGACGGTTCTCCCAAAGCTCAATGTTTAATTCCAAAAAATTCTTGATTATTTTCTGTTCTAATTTCTGACAGAAGTACATTATATATTTCTAATATCAAATCAACGAACACTATTTATTCACCATTTACTACATCGTATAAAACTATCAAGCCCTTTGCATTCTCTTTAACAAGACCCATGCTCATCTCTTGATTGCCCGCAACATATCATCGGAGAGGTTTGCTCGTTGATATCTGTTATGCAGACTCATAATGGGGGAAATCGACAGAAATATATGTGTTGCTAAACATTACCCTTTTTGCAATTGCCGTTTTTTTATTTTAATCACAAATATAATCACGAAAATTAGGGGAGCAATCTCTCACATCAATCTTGATAAATTAAATGGTAAAGTTTCTAAAAAAGGCCACTGCTTTAAAATATTGCGAAAGTCACAATGAGCACCAACTAAAAAAATACATACTTGTACAGCGGTGAATACAAAGGTATCCGGCGTATGCAGCATTGCACAGAACATAAACAGTGCATTATAGCCCTTGAAGCTTAAAATATGGGATGTCGCCCATTTAAATAAGTGGGAAAATGATTTCACAGCATGCATTAGACGCCCCGGCACTCAATCTACGCGTCGCGACATGCAACATCAGTCTTTCCCCTCTCCGAAAAGCGTCCCACCCCCACTGCTTGCACTTTGGCTCTCTCACGGGCAGATGGTCGGCTTCTAAGTACAGAATGTCCGCGGGAGCAGGCGTTGTACATGCATGCAGTTGTGTATGCATAATACGCGGCTCAGGCTTATGTTGCACAAATCCCAGATAATTGAAAGTCGAAAGAAATCTTATATGTTAGGAATATTCATTTTCCTTTTAAATGGCATTCAATATTAAATATATCGCAGTAATATGGATGTGTATGAATTGATTTTGAAATCAACGAACTCTGTCTCTCCCTCTTCCTATCTACCTCTCTCCTTCTCTCCCGCTCTCTTCTCCCTCCACCTCCCCCTTTCTCTCTCTTTTAAACATTTCTCTGTTTTATATAAAAAATATTGACTTCTAACATTTTAATATTATTCACTTAATTCTATTAGAAAGTCACTATATTTCGTAATTATAAAAAGGTCTACATATATTCCACATTAGGCGTACCTTATTTCTAAATTGAAATAGTGAATGCTTTGTCTTTTTAGAAATTAATAAATGCATTAACATTTAGCAATGTTAACAATGTTTATTTAAGCAAAAATACATTGGTTAGTTGCTTCGCCAAAACTTATGAATCGGGATATTAAGTCGAAGGAGAGGGAGTAGGTGACGGAAAGAGAGAGGAACAGCAAAGGCTACGTGAAACCTGAGATGAACAAATTGTAAATGCAACACTGAAAAGGTCAACAAGTCTTTTTAAAGAGAATTCTTGAACCGATGTGATAGAGAATCATATAATTTGGTTGCTTTCAATGACAGTATTAGTTGTATCATTAATTTTTATTCGCGAAACTTCTGATATCAGACGCGAATATTTATGCATTTTAACATAAAAAATGTTTGGCTTTGAGACGTGTTTGGAAACAGAATTCTGCCGATATGGATGTTTCTTGATGTTTCTTCGATGTACTTTCTGTCGTATTAAAAGCTTTTTGCTAGTTTGCCCCAAGTACATCTTTGGACAGTCATTCCATTTTACAAACAACATATCATTTATTTAATTGGGAAACATAATCTTTAATATTCTTAACAATAATTTTCTTATTCATTATTTTTGTTATAAACGAACAACGGAAATCTCTTTTTCGTGATCAGGCAAGAAAAGGTAGGAAGGACAATCAGAGATATTCGATGAATTTGTAATGTAGTGCTACCTCTCACCAAGCTTCGCAGCCAGCACAGAACAATAAAGGTAAGCCAATAAGCCAACAATAAAGGCAGCCAGACGTAAGATCAAACGCGCTTCACGACAGCAGGCTCGTGTTAATGAATTCAGCGAAGACCGACAAACAGCATCCGATTGCTGAAATCTGGGAAGGCAAACTCCGAACGGTAGATCTCATAAGAAACAAGTTCTGTGATTGTAACTGCTTACAGCAAAGGTTTCTGGCTTCGAAAATATCGAGTCACGTATTTGCTTTTGTCGCGAAACCTTTATCGCTTAAGAGAACGAGAGCAAGTATTTTTTGTTTTCTGAAAATTTCATTAGAAGTCATTTGAAGCATATTAACTTACAAATACAATAGTGATTACGAATTACTAGAACTGTGCACATTAACGGCGTGAGAGATATTTCAAAAAATTACATTTGTGTAATTTTTGAAGAAAGAAAATACTCCGAAATGAAATTTTCGTCATATTAAAGAGGGAAATTAGCACAAGACAAAATTTAGAAACTTTTATGAGAAAATGCCGCTTGAGTGTTTCTGAAAATACGAAATTTTGAGCATGTTTTAACAGAACACAGTTGATTTTTCGAAAAGCTTTATATGCCATTATTTAAAGCTCATGTACTCATTAATACAATAATGTGAACAAATCGCCGAAGATGTAAATATTAGCGACTTGAGAGACAATTCAAAAAATTACATTTTTGGTTTTGAGATTTGTTTTTGTAATTTTTTAAAATTGCAAATACTGCAAACAATATTGCTTGAATACTACTAAAATTTTCAAAAAATGTACATGGCATTATTGAAAGACCTAAACAAGAGGAACAAAACTTTATCTGAAGGAAAAATTTCTATCTTCAATTCTTTAGTTATAGGATACTCGCATTCCAAAGCAGGTGTTTAAGTAGAAGAAGAAGAAGAAGAAGAAGAAGAAGAAGAAGAAGGAAAACGCTGGGAAATTTTCAAACTTTTGCAATTATAGAAATTTTAGAGTTAAAAGTTAGTTGTAGAAAGACCCCTGAAAAAAATTGGAATTTTCGGAAATTCACAGTTAAACCTGATTATCGAACCTTTGCCACCTTCATAGGTGTATTTTACTCTCATTATTACTTTCAATCTTACAAGAAATTTCAAGAAAAAATTTGGAGACGTTTTTGAGAAAATTTTGTCATGAGAGCTTCATGTAAATAACCTTCAAATTTTAAAGAATGTATCTCCAAATCTCAAAGCTTCGACTCCAGCCAGATGGAAAGGGGTTTATTCAATTTGGAAAACAATTATGCATGGTTTATTCGCTAGTAGTGTTCACACACGGGCGTTTTGCCGTCAATAGATTTTTTCGGTATCAACTAAACTAAGAGTAAAAACTAGTTGTGCTAAAAATGACACAACTTTTCCGTATTAGTTTTCTATTTTCTTTGGTCTCGGCAAGCTATTCGGACTTTCCACAAGCCTTTTGCCAGCTAACATTTATCGCCGCCCAAAGAACATTTTTTTAAAAATTTTCTCCATTTTTCGGTTTTCTAATAATAATAATAATAATAATAATAATAATAATAATAATAATAATAATAATAATAATAATAATAATTGGTAATTTGTTGAAGAATTGTTCCTGAAGAGAATGTACTCTTTTGGTATAATGTGCTTGCACACATTGGTTGATGAAGGTTACATGGGGGAGAGGAGGGAGAGGGGGAGAGAGATGTGGAGAGGGAGGAAGATGGTGACAGAGGGAGGGAGAGGGGGATAGAGGGGGTGAGAGAGGAAGATAGATAGAGAGTCATTGGGAAAATCTTTTGAGTCTCTGCGCCATAAGGACGGCCTATAAATCCCATGAAAAACACGAGCCAAAGCTAGTACGCGACTAATACCGCGTCTCCCCACAGCTGTCGTCAGATGTTCATGAGATCACATGCGCTGCGGCCACATTTCATCGACGCGACACGGTGTCCTATTGACGAACGCTTCCTTGAGCACATTCACCACTTCTTGTATAAAGATAGAAATAAATCGAACACCTCCTGTTTAAGGAAAACCGCTGGGAATCTCAAACCTCCCCAAAACCTTCGTGCCGACGAACGCGCTGCTCTGAGCGCGAGCGGATGCTTGTTCGCCGCATTGGCCTCCGGGTTCGCCCGGCCAACCGGCTGAACCCTCGTCTTGGTTTGTGTTCAACACTCTGGGCCTGCTCGGCGCTCTTCCCAGTTTGGGTTCATGGCGCTAGCGTGGGGTAAATAGTGAGAAAGGGGGAGGGGGGGGGAGGAATCTCTCACTACCCCGTACTTGACGTTGTTCGGAGAGAGGGGAAGGGGAAGGGAGGGAGAGAAGAGGGGGGAACAACAGATAGAAAAGAGAGTAGGGTGTTATTTACGTGGGAATTTGTGGCCGGTATCGGAGGATGCTGAACCCTGAAACGTGGGTTCTGTGCCTAGGACAGTGTATTGTTACATTTTTTAAATTCTTTATTAATACTTTTGTAAATAAGAACTACATTTAAATAAAAGAAGACATTGCTCTTTGATATCCTTTCAAACTTAAACACTGGCTGAAAGAGAGACATTTCTATGAACTTCAGATTTCATTTTTTAAATTTAATATTACATATTTATTTTTTTTCTGAGAATCTTTTAAAATACAAAAATTCATTTGAAAAACATGGGTGTAATCTTCTTCAAACTGCACGATCAATTCCAGATTGCTTGGGAATGGAAATGGTGTGCCCAAAGGATCTGATGAGATTACCAACTGGCCAGACCTGTTGAACCTGTGGCAGATACGAAACGAATGAATATGTTGATGAGGTAGTGAAGGATGGTAGTAATGATGGAATGAGACGTAGGGAAATATAACAAAATCGCCGTGAGCAATTTTTACCTCTTTAAAATTACCACATTCAACTATTTGGTTGCGTGCGCACGCGCCCACATACACGTCCACACACACCCACACCCACGCACACGATTCCCAGGGAGGAAAAGTCGAAAATTCAAAAATAAGCTCAAGACAATTTTAAGCATATTCTGTCTTATAAACTACTTGGATACTCCGAATGACTAAGCTGCAATAAGCTCTCAAAAGTTAGTTTGAAAAAATGCAAAAAATTGTATTGCTGGAGTATAGAAACACTACAAAAACATTTAAATTGTTTATTATTTACAAAATAAATGGGTGTATTTGTTCAGGAAAAAAAATTAACCAAGAAATTAAAAAGCAGTCAAATTGTGTAAATTTGGTGCTTTTTCATTTCTGGGTTAACTTTTCTTTCAGAACAAATATATTAATTTCTTTGGTAAATAATAAACAATTTAAATATTTCTGGAGTGTTTCTGTGCTTCAGGAATGCAAATTTTTGCTTAGAAATATTTTTTTTTGAACTAACTTTGGAGGGCTTATTTTTTCGCTGCTCAAATTTTTGAAAAATTATATACAACTTTGTTCGAAAATCTATCTTTAAGGAACAGATTTTATGAAGGGGAAAATCTCTATCTTTGGTATTTTAGTTGTAGGAAAAAGATTTTGAATTTTTTCAATTTTCGAAAAATCAGACCAACATGAGACCTGCGCCATTCTCTTAAATGTACTTCAGACTATCCAACAACACAATTTACTGAAAATCGTTGGTGCCATTTTTTGAAACTTTTGAACATGTCCCAAGAGCTTCATGTACCTCAAAGTACCCCCAAAGTTAAAATATCGGTTTCACATTCAAAGGCCCGCAACATCAACCAGATCGATCAGAGAAAGTCAATTTTGGGGACTATCGGCTGTGCAGTTAAAGCTGCTAGCTATTCACAGATGGACAGAGACATTTTGCCTTCAATCGATTTTTCAGTGTCAAGGTTCCACAAAAACTGAATTCTGTCTACACAGCATGTTAGAGAAAGTAATTTGCAATAGACAAGAGGGACAAAAATTACTATCCACTTGTTTCTTACCAGGGCCCGGGATAAGAGTTTTTTTGTCGAAAATTCGCTGTTTTCTGGCGTGCAAATTCTACATACATTAACTAAATCAATGTATTTATTCATGATTAATATATCTACTTTCTCTTCTTGCAAAGTATGGGCGTGAAAATAAAAAGCAGTAAGTTTTGAAATTTTGCCAAATAAAAATGACTTCAATATGTAAAATGATAACTTGCATAAATCTTCTTTAATGCCTTTCATTGCAGAGGAAGCGATTTTGAAATGTATTCCTTTTGCTGATGTTATCATTTCTTTGCAACTAACAATGATATAAGATAAAATATAATCAATTCAGTAAGTTACAGTTAGAGACACACACTCATAAGGAATTGAAAAATAAAATTAAACATGTCTACTTAGTAGAAGAAAGAATGTTCACAAATGTAATTAATCTTTTTAAAATCATAATTGAAAGGGAAAATTAAACAAAGAATGAAAATTTTAAAAAAATGTGTAAAAATAATGCAAACTTCACAGGAAAACAACAAAACAAATATACACTTGTATTGTGATTTAAGTACTATAAAACATACATTTGTGTCACCAAAGATTGTAGATCAAGCCAATATCATACTGTTCAAGATCAACCAGTAGCTCACTGTGTCTTTCCCAGTAAGTTCAAGAGACATTTTGGGGAATTTCTGTAGTTAAAGAGTTGCCATTATCACTGCAGAGAGGCTTATGAGAGACAGACAGATCAGCACATTAAGACACATTAAGACGCACATAATTCTTTAGTGCACTATAAGTGAAAAGTGGATTTTAAATATGTTACCTAATGATATGCAGGCTACTTGTAAAAAGAGGGTTAATTTGGATAAAGCAGATATTGTTGTTGTATTTTTTTCCAGCAAAATTCTCTTTTTTGAGTTAATGAAATGTTAATATAAATACCAAATTATCCATTTCTTAGGGCTCATGTTTTGCAGTAGAACGTCAGTAGCATTCCATTTTATTAAGGAGCTCTCATTCATGCATACCTTGCTCACCTAGAATGTATGCTATATCACAATGAGAAAACATATAGATAAAGGCAAAGGGAGATTGGTACCAAGAAGTAAGATAATAAATGACAATATCACATAATATGATATTATAACTGGTCACAATTTATTACAGAAAAAGAAGAAATGATCTGTGAGTAATTAGGGACAATGGACATTGTTCTCTAATAGGCATTAATAGTTATTTAGCACCATGGATGTTAACTGGTTCTAAGGCTCTGGCGTTAACTGGTCGTTCCAAAGGCCCTTGGGTGTTTTGTTGCTACTTAGTCATTCGAACCAGTTTTGGATTGTCATGGAAAGTAATTTGAACCAACTGTTTTCATATTATCCTTGAAACCAGGATCCTTTTGATCCAGGTACGTTACACAATGTATATCGAGCTCCGTATCAAAAGCAATAACAAACTATAATGTATTAGTAAAAAATAGAAGTGTTTTACTATGTAAAGACAAGTAGGTATGAGGTAGGTGTGATGTACTTATTAATAATGAGGGTAAAAAAGATACTTGAATTTAAATTTTGTTACTAAAGAACTCAATTTAGAAAACTTGCAATGGGGAAAACCAAAATGAACATGAAACAGAGAAAATTAGAATTGAAAGTACAGAAAAACATATGTAATAGATGTGACAATAGAAAAACATTCATTATGGCAAAGTGAAAAAGAATTCATCTCTGAAACTTAATGGAACTACTCTAAACAATTAGAGAAAATGTTCTTAAAAAGGGGATATAAACAAAAACTTGCCTTATTTTCACTGGATTCTAGACTGTTCAGGAGATGCTATGTGCTACATATGGGTCCCAAAGTTTCAGTCAATGTGCAGCAGCTTTCTTCAGGGTGAAATGGCAATGGTATACATCTCCCGAACAGCCTAGGGTCTAGTAGTGGAAGCTTATGTCTTCAGTTCACTGTCTTTTCATTGTATAACTACAATATTGATAACACATTATTTGTTTATTGCTCTTCAAAAAATAACAGGAAGACTTTTAAGCTGCTTAATCTTCAATATTTTAAAATATCAGTATATTAAACCATAAATTTGTGGGAAAAAAAAAAAAAAAGCTCAAATATATGATTATACTTGTAATGTACTATTGTCAAAACTTTTCATATTCTTTCATCAAAACCTGTATTTTTTAACATTTATTTTTAAAAGAAAATTGTTTTTCAAAGACAGTTAAGTATCCTTTTGAAAAGTATGCGGATTAATGCAGATTCAGCTACTGAATTTGAATGTCACTAGTTAAAAAAAGGTGATCATTCAAAACAATGACCTAATCAAAGAATAGTTTTTTTAAAATCAATAAGAAGTAAATTCTATATTGCGATAGAAAAGAAAACTGGAATTGATGATTATGGAAATGAAAAAAACTTAAATTGATATTAAAGATAATTACATTGTAAGAAAAACTTTTCCATAAAAAGCAAAAAAACATGAAATTTCAAATATTACAGTAACTATTGAGTATAACAATTAAAAAATTTTACCTCATTTGTTGATTTAATTTCTTCAAGCACTAGATCATTTTTTATAAACAACAATTTATGGGAAATCAAGGAGTGAGTTTGATCATTTCCGACTTTTCTCTGCAGCCAATCTGTGACTAACAAGTTGTCTTCCCAAGTGTGACCCTGATTTTATAAAAAAATGATTGCAATTTAAAATTATCCCTAAAGACAAATTATTAGAATAAAAACTCAAAGTATTCATTACATTTGATTCTTCATTCTCTTCTATGAACCATTTACGAAGTAGTAAACGAGCATTTTCAAAAGCAATATTGGAGCGGATCCTGGTGATTATATTTGCTGCTTGATATTCCAAGAGCAGCCGTTTCAGACGACAGTAGAAAATATAACGTGATTGCCTCCATGGAACAGTTCCCTTAAAAAAATTATAAAATAATAAACATAATATTGTATTAAATTCATTTTTATGAACTACCATTTGGGGTGTGACTGAATTCAAAGATCTAGAAATTTTGTTACTTTGATATAAGTCAAATTGCATATCATTTATTTTCAAGGGTGAATGCAATTTCCTATTTGAAATTGAAAACTGCATTGTGACACTTTTTCTGTAATTTACAATTATTTTATTATTTCAAAACAATTTTGAAACATCTAATATCATGCTACTCACTGTTTCTTTTCACAAAGAACATTTATATCATCAGCTAAAATATATGCTCTTCCAGAGCATCTGGGACTATGACATATTATTAATGAATGAAAGGAAAAGGTTAAGCCCCAAAATTTAACCTATAAGACACCATCCTCTATTAGCGTTGTTCTAAACTTTCAGTAAATAATGTCCTTCTACCTGTACATATAAAGGTAAAGTCAATATGAATTTTCTATTTAGGCAAATTCTATTCTTTCATGGCATTCTTTCATGTTTATTAAATTTGAATGCTTTAATTAAATGATTGTTCTCAAGAAAATGTATCTACTTAAAAAATGTAAAGAATTAGTAGAAAATGCAAAGGGCTAAGTGTTCTAACATGTACACTAACAAAGTTTTGGTTTTATAAAGCATATGTGATTATAAATATTGTCTATTTATAATCAAATAATTTTTAATTATTTTAATCGAAAGCAACAGTAAAATAAAAGCTATACCATTATGACTGATTTTTCTTTCATTCGACATGGAACATCATGTAGATCTGCAAAATGAATAGCAACTTGAAGATAAATGGGCATGAGATATTGTTCACGCTCAGCGATAGTTTTTTCTAGCCCAGCTCTCATTTCCATGGACAAATCAGCCTTTTCCAATTCAACAGAAGCTGCACCTATCACAGAATCATTCTGATGCATAGATTTTATTAAATCTTTTGCCCGAAATCGTATTTCCACAATCCCTTCTGGGCCTAAAACACCACCCCTGAAACATTTGTTCATTTGCAAGAAAGTAATGAGATTTTTTATTTTGCAAAAATGTGTTCAACTTTATTTCATGAATAATGAAAATCAACATAAAACATATTACTCCTGTAAAGTATAGAAATGAAGAGCATTTCACTAACCGACTTTCAGGATCTGCATACATTTCAATGCAACTGGGGTTTATGGTTTTGTCCAAGACCGCCCATGCTCCTCCTCTAAGTTCTCCATTGGGTGGAATATATACTAGAATAGGTTGAGTATATTCTCTAAGTTGATCAATTATATAGGATCCAAATTTCATAACTTGTTCAAACATATCTAAAGAAGAAAATACAAATATAAAAATAAATAATACCACTTTTTAATGACTTAAATTAACCTGTCAAATTAATAATATTTTTGATCTAGAATCTTGTTAGTTGTCCTAATTTTAATGCCTTAAACATTGAGTTGCCATTATCATTCTACATTCATTCCAGAGAGATAAATCAAGAAAGAAAATATTGTTTGCATTAGGCCCTACTCTGTTTGGAAGTAATTTTTTGGTTTCAGAGAATGCACTATCATCTATTCATCAAGTAAATGAATAATCTTTTTAAAAGAAGCAATTAACATTAGTTTCATGAATATAATTAATTTTACTTTCTCATATACTAATATGTAACTTTAAGAAAGTATTGTAATATTACAGGAAATGTTCCAATTTTTAATCAGAAAAACTATTTTTGTGGGTCCCTGATACCAAGTATGTTTTTCTTACTCCTTTAAGTAGCGAATTACTTTCTCAAATATGTAGTGTAGTCAGAAATCACATTCTGTAGGTCCTTGAAACCCAATACAAGGTTTCCATCATTCTTTCTGAGATCATCACTAGTGCCCAAACTATACACAGGATTGTCATACAAAATGATATTATTTTGTGTAAACCTTTTTGAAAATATTAGTAGTTTTCGAGTAATCTGAGATACATCATTTGCATTTTTCAAGTGATAATTAAAGTGTTAGTTTGTAAGAAGGGCATATATCATCTACAACCATTACCATAATGTCATGCAACCATAATATGAGAAAGTATGGGCTGTTTTAGCACCTCCTACTTTCATATCATTTCCTTTGCTTTGCAACAGAGTGGAAGAATGTAGGAAAGCCATTCATTAACAAATGTTTACTGATTTCAATAATCCAAGTTTCCATTAGTTTAGAATATACCTTTCTTTCCTCCAGAAAATCCTCGCCAATTTGAAAAAATAATGAGAGGTAGACCTTCTTTACCAAAATCTTGAATAACTTGTGCAGTTTTTTGGGATGAATCTGGATACCATACTTGCCCAGCCTGGGTGACAGTCTATACACACAAAGAACTATTTCATGCGAAGTTTTTAACATATAAGATTAAAATATACAAAAATAAAAATCTCAATGTAAAGAAAGAGACTTTCCTGGTTCAGTGGCTTTTTCAATTGAAAATATAATATGAAAAGTTAATATATGTGTTTGAAACATTTTGAAATAATGATAATTAATCATATTAAGAATTTATTCAAAAATCAAAGTTTGATATTTGTTTACCATATTTAATGTTTGTCCAAGCAATTTGCCTGTCTGTTGGGGCTTTCATAAACAGTCTTATTGTCCTCCTATTATGGGATATTGATTCAATGTTGTGATCAACTGTTGTTTTTTTGTTTAACACATCAATACTGTTTCAAAATGCATACCTTTGATTCTGAATTTTCATTTGCTGGATCTGCTGGCAATGTGACATTAATAGTCTGCGTTTCTACTGCAATTATTCCAACAGGGATACCTCCTAGTCTTCCACGCCCACAAACTACAGATTGAGCCCAGGGCTTCATTATTTCATCCCAAGATCCCTTGTCAAGAAATCCACTTTCCCATTCATCTGTGTTATGCGGATGTGGGCGCCCTTCCAACATCCAGCGGGGATCATAAGGTAGTTTAGTTGGTTTGTATTCAACTGGTCTGTCAATAGGATCCAAACTGTCCATAATAGGGACAGATGATAATTTATCCTATGAGAAAATGGAATATTAAATTTTAAAAAATTAAAATTAAATTAACAATATTACAAGTTTAAAATTCTTATAACCTTTGGCATATATGAAAGCCATTTAAGAATTTTATAGATGCCATCAAAGTCATGGGATGCAGTTTGGTGAGTAATTCCATTATTGTACATTATTTGGATACCTCCAAGTTGATTATTTGAAGAGTATACTTCTCGTCCCAATAACTGCAACAAAGCAAATACAAACTTTCCTTTACTTTATTTAAACAATATTTTTTATGTTTGCTTTTAGGTCAGATATAAGAAAAGAGAACTTGTAAAGTAACTGAAATTCTGCAAACTTTCTTTTCAAAGAAAAAGAGAAACAGACTACAAATTGAAAGTAAAATGAAAAGACAATTTTTTGGTTTAATTGATAATATATAAAGGCAGTACTTAATTTTAAACATGCATTTTATATTTGTACCAATCTTTTGGGATCACCTTATTGAGAGCTTGATATCCAGTAAGAATGATATGTGAATTTTGAACTTGAATGACTCTCTGGCCAAGACGGATCAAGTAAGATCCAATCCCAATTGCCCGGCAAGAAACCATTGAAATTGTCACTACTTCTTGATAAGCCTTTGATGTTTCTCCCGCTATCAGTCCAGCACCTTGAAGATTTTCTACACCAATTCCTTCTTCCTTGCCTACAAAAAGGAGTCAGATGTAATCGATAGGAAACCAACTTCAGAAATTAATATCGATTTGCAAAACTATGTATTGTATACCAATGATGGCAGTTATTTGGTGTCGTAGCTCCCCTTCATCTTCTATTATCTGAGTTTGCACAGAATTCATGGAGTGCACTTTTGCATAATCATCTGGTTTAAGATACAAATATCTGAAACCCTGAAATAAAAGGGACATATGAAAGAAATAGTACATTGAATATTATATTACCACAAGCCTCAGCAATCAAACCTTATTGGGATCTTCTCTATCTTCCCAAGCAATTCTGAATAAATTTTTTAATTCTTCTGCCAGTCCAATACGAGCTCCACTGTTTGCAGATATGTATATTCGTGGAATCTTTTTTTTTCTAGCCATTTCTGATGCTTTAAAAAACAAAAAGTCTTCTAGTGGTGAGAAAGAACCTGATACATGCGTTATGTCATTAGCAATCACTACGATGTCACGACCTTCAGGGTATTCTGGTGTAAATAATGTAAAAAGCCAAGCAACCATTCCCACCTAAAAGTTGAAAATATCAACATTAGGTTTTTAATACATTCATGGGTATGTTCATTTGTTAGTTTTTTAGTAATGTCTGACTATTTGGAGATGGAGCTCCCCCCCCCCCCATTGACATGTGAAAACTTGTTGGGAGAGTTATAGGTGTCAGTACTCAGCATTGACTCCTCCGTTGGCTGCCAGAGAGTGATGTAATAGCCTCAGGACATTTGTCCACTTCTCTCCAGCCACGAGGATGTGGGTCTGATTAGAATAAGGTTTAATTTTCCACACTTTTAGCCAGGTTTCTTTTACATGCCATAAGTATGACATGGCTGCTGTTGTTTTTCCACACTTTAAAAACCCACCTACCTAAGCCAGGATCAAACCCATCAAGTTCCCACACAATCATTGAGGGGTTTGGTAACTGAATATTTGAAACGGAAAATTAGTCTGAACAATGCCAGATTCTTGAGAATTTCTTTAGACCCAGGGCAACAGAATTTTCTTTTGAGGGGAGGTCAGTAAGTGATTCTTCCAAGAATTAATTTATGGAGACCATCTTTTACGAAGTGATAATATTGTCATTTTATTGTAATGTGAAGGACTAATATTATTGATGATACTTTTATATTGTAAATGTAAAATCCATTGCAAAAATAAAAGCAATGGGATTCCAAAGAAAAAAAAAACATTCCAAAGTAGTAATAGAAAACCAAATAAATGACAAGTGACAAATTTCACTTACTTAGGAATTAAAATACTTTTGTGGGAAAAGAACATAGTTATGAAATTGCCAAAATAACTGAATAAATGGGACTATTAAAGGCCAATTTTAAACCATGTCCAAAGAAACAAAAATCAGTCTCCATAACATACCAGCGAAACAGTTCTGTTATATGAGAGCGAAATCATTATCATCAATATCATCATCATGAACACACACGTCATTATACTTCCAAACTTGTTCCTTTCGTGCTTGCAGTAGTTTGGTGCATTAAGTGCTTCACTCTCTTTATTGTAGGTCTTCCTCTATTTTATTTTTTCTTCTTCTTGTCTATGGTATGCAATTATTATAGAGAATGTTATCATTTGAATTCTTTTGATATATGTGTTCAAACATATAACTTTACCATCTCTTATTTTGTAATGATTTCTCTTCCCTCCCCTTTATTAATTAAGGTGAGTACAAAAAAGCTCTCCTAGGCATGCTGTTTCCTAAGCAACCTTCAATAGGAAGGCAACATCAAAAAATGTATTGTGGGTTTTGTGCATCTGGGGCAGTGAATGCATTTGGTTTGGGAACACAGTACAGAAATAAATATGTGATAAATATTATTACACGTGATAAATTCATATTCATTTTTTAACATTTTCTCTTTTTTTGGTCCTCTACTTTTAGACCTAAAAATGACTGTAAGAATATTATAGAAGAGTAATATTTAGTTCTATATGGAAATTTTTGAAGAAAAATTTGAAGCTATTTTTGTGAAAATGTCCTTTGAGCATTTCTGAAAATGAACATTTTTGAGCTCATTTTCACAAAAACTTTTGAGTTTTAGAGAAAAATTATTGCTAACCATTTGAAGCCCTTCTACTCACAAATGCAATAATGTATACAAATCATTGGTAAAGTAAATATTAACAATGTAAGAGATATTTGAAAACAATTACATTTGTGTAAATTTTGAAAAACAAAAAGCAACAAAATGGCTTTTAATTTATCCAGTGGATTTAGTACTTCCATAGAAAAATGTTGAAAAATTTTAACTTCTAAGAAAAAATTTGGAGCCGTTTTTGAAAAAAAAATGAAAATGTCCCAGGGGCATTTCACTTAAGTTTTACATGCATATCATGTAAAGTACCTCCCAAAACTAATTAACAATTTTCAAAATCGCAGAGCTTCGACTCAGACCAAATGGTCAGGAGTTTCTTCAATTTTGAAAAAACTCTACGCCACTTATGAATTCTTCGCCACAAGGGCTGAATCAAGTGAGCAATTTTAATTATATAGGAAACAATAAATCGTGCTACTATGACATAGAGAGAACAAAACTCTCGTGGTTCCAGATAATATGTGGAACCACAAGAAGAACCCTTGGTAAGAAAACTCAAAAAGAAACAGAGTTAAAAATTGTATAAGACAATGGCAATACCGACTTTGCTATACGGTAACGAATCAGAGATAAAGTTTCTGAGGGCACTAAAAGGCTGTATGAAAACTGATCATGAAAGAAATCAAGATATTCCAAAAGAACTAAGAGCTGTATTATCCGCACACGTTTTCTTGAGGCCTCGCTTTGCTAGTTGCGAGAGGGGTGGGGAGTTGGGTTATTTTGACAAAAGGAATTTTGCATCATATTTGTTGTTCCCTTTTCGATGCAAAATAGTTTCTATTACACGGGAGCGAACATTCTGGTTACCAGACTTTGCCTAAAATGTTTCTTGCTATCATTTATTCTTAATTCAACTAAAGTTGGCAAAGGAATGGGGGTAGGTATTCCGAGGCTCAAGAAAACGTGCGCATATATTATCAATTATTGATCAAATCGAAAATAGTAAAAGAAATTGGACTCAACATCTGTATAGAATAGAGGAGCAGCAGCTTCCTATAAAGACATGGAAATATCGATCCCTTGGAAAACAAGATCCCGGAAAACCAAGAAAACAGTGGACCATTGAACCAGAACAGGCCAGTAGGCCCTGACAGAAAAAATGATTTCAGCTAAAAGTAGTAAAAGTGTGGGGGTTGTTTTCTGCAACGAGCTACACTATTCCAGCATAGTATATTCTAGTTCGTTGGTATTCTGAGGTTCAAGAAAACATGCATGTTATTTCAGGGGATCTCAAAAGGTGTACAAAATTAATATTTTTTTTTTCAATTTAACATTTAATATTTTGCATCTTTCTGAAAAGTTAATACTTTTAAAGTAGCTTACATCATTTGTCCCTGGTGGTCTCTTCATGATGTTAATTTCCTTTTCTTTATTTAGCACTAGTTCAAAAAATTCCATCAATTTATAAGGAAGATTTACTGAAAAGAAAAGGAAATAAGTAATTATTCCTTAATATTTTTAAGAGAAAAACTGAACATAAATGATTTAGAGAGGAACACATTTTAAGGCTTAATTATCTTGATGCAATTATAAATGCATTTCTTTTGTATAGATTCACGTTAGTGCTTACAAATGTACAATTCGTATAAAAAACAAAGGTATCTTTCTTGACATACAAGTACACATGATTCAAGTTCTGGATGTTGATTCCTGAAACAAGCGGCTCAAAAACTAGTATATTAAACAAATATATTAAACAGTATACAATACATACAGTTTTTTTAATTGTGAAAGTTTTATTACAGACACAAGATTACTGCACATAGAAGGTTCTCATTACCCTAAAATACTTTCCATCAAAATGCTTTTCACCCTCTCTGAACTTAATGTATCCCTCCCCTTTACATATCATGAGAAGGACTGTAATAACAAAAAATATCATCCTTACTATTAGGTCTGTTTTCCCCATATTCCTTCCACAATTTCTCCAACATTTGCTGAAACATCTCAGGAATATCATGAACATAACTTGTGCCCATTTTTTGAGCATGATAACGTTTATGTTGAACTGGAGTTGTGAGAGCATATGCATTGGTAAGTGAATAGCTTGTGCATTTTTCTCCGTTTTTATATGTTTCAAGAATAAGCTGTAAAATCAAGAAAACATAATTTTCAATTGATAAAACTGATAAAAAAAGAGATACCTAAATACAAAATGAAATGTGTCAATAATGATACATAGCAGAAATTATTAAAATACTACAGTTGAATTACAAGTAAATGGTAAACTACTGGAAGGAATTTGAAATGAAAAAATTTGCATACAATGAATTCTACCAGCATTAGTTTTTATTCCGTTTATTTTGTTAGTTCTATATCTTTGAAGAAATAATGTTACTGCTTTGTATATAAAAATAAGAAAACAATTTTGAACCTTTAATATTATAAAAATAAAAGAACTTAACAACTGTGGAACTATGTACATATACAGTGTAAGTCATTTCAGATGGTACACAAGCACACAATTGCATTCTCCTCAGCTGAACAAATGTTTTCCATGTCATTTTGCTGAGAAAAGTATTGTTTCTGCACATCAGTTTCTTGACAATTTCTCTTCTTCTATAATATCCTTCCTAATATAGTGTTCTTATCTTTTATAGTTCCAATAGATGTATTTTGAACTGCTTCTTTGGCATTTCTTTTTTATCTTTTCTTTTGCTTCTGTTTGGGTTTTGTGTGTTGTATTGTGGATTGTTAGCTTGCTTGTAAATACTGTCATCATCATAGTCATCACAAACTGCAGGTTGCTAGGCCAGTTACCTGTTCCTGTTCCACAGTATAACAGGAAGCTTACACTTTCAGGTGGTCCTGTTCTAGTAATTTTATTTTGTGATCTTCCCACAACCCTTCGCCCTATTGGTTTGTATTTCAACACTGCTTTGGAGAATCTTTCTTGTTTCATTCTCTTTATATGAGAGAACCATTTTGTCTGTCCATCCTTTATTTCTTCTCCTATAGTTGTTGCCTTTAGCTTATTTCTGATATCTTTACTCCTTTGCCTATCCTTAAGTGTCACTCCAGTAAGATGATGTAGGAATCTCATTTGCGTTGCCTCTCGTCTTTGTTGCTCACTGCTTTTCATTGTCCAGACATCCAAACCATATATGAGATTGGTTTAGATATCATGTTGTGGATTCTTCGTTTGGTCTCTGTGGTCATATCTATTCCAAAATGTCTTTTGATTAATCCATTCATTCTGTATTTCTGTATTTTGTTTTTTATGTTTTCCAAACTCTGTCCAATGAGATTGCCCAAATAAATGAATTGTGATACTTGTTCTGTTATTTTCCCATTTATGACAATTTTGACTCTTGTCATTTCTTTTCCTTGATATGCCATTACTTTTGTTTTGTTTGTGGAAATTTCCATATTAAATTTCTGTGATATTTTATACACTCCATGTGCTGTATTGTGCTTCTGATTCCATTATTATGACTACATCATCTACATACAGGACTGTTTGGATTGTCTGTCTTTTACTAACGTCTATTCCATTCCTTGATTAAATGGTTGGCATTATGTGTTTGAACAGATGATAGTGACAGGCCACAGCCCTGTCTTAACTTCTTTTTAAATATAGGTGTTTGTGGTGTGTTATGTTTGCATTTTTTATTAAATATATATAGTATTTCATGCAAACAATATTATTTTAATATAAGAGCATTTTTATGGCTTAGCCATCCAGTTCATCAGTTGTCTGCTGGATGGATAAGCCACAAAACGACTAAGTAGTCTTACTAGGTCGACTAGGTAGTCGTTTTGTGGCTTCCATCCAGCAGACAACTGATTGATGATGGCAAAAGCCATTCGAAAATCTGCTCTTATATTAATAATATTGTTTGCATGACAACGTCTAAAATTATGTTACTGTTTTAAAATATTTTGACACGTTCCCCATTGCATTTTCATCTTCATCATGAAATCAGTATAAGTCTTGCTTCTTTTTAATTTCTATAGGATTTTCTCTAAATTCACTGGGTCTTTTCTGCTCACGTGCTTTCTCAAAGTCTATGAATAATAGGTAATTCAGAATATTCACTTTGTTACATCTCTTCAGAATTGTTTGTAATGTAAATATTGCATCATTTGTACTCCTTCCTCTTCTGAATCCATTCTGTTCTTCTCCCAGTAATGTTTCATTGTATTCGTTCATTCTATTTCTTAGTATTTTGGCAAATAATTTTGATACTGTGTGTAGGAGCTTTATCCTCCTATAATTGTTATAATTTGTTTTTGTTCCTTTCTTGTGCAAATTTATAATGACACCTGCCTGCCATTCATTTGGGGTTGAATTTTCTTCTCAGACTTCATTGAAGAGTTTTACCACATTGTCCTTCAATTCTTCTCTGTCATGTTTTATTAATTCCATGGCAATTTCGCCAAATCCTGGACTTTTCCTATTTTTAGCTTTTATTAGCACCCTTTCCAGCTCTTCTTTGAATATTTGTGACAGTAATTCTTGAGTCTCAATTACTGTGTTGCTCATCCTTGGGTCTGTTGTCTCTGGTTAACTCCACCACTTCTCATAGTGTTCTATCCATCTCTCGTCAGGATAAATCTTCAGGATGAGATCTATCTCTTGTTTCTGCTCTGAGTCTCTTCATGATTGTGAAACACATTCTTTGGGGGCCTGGGAAGTTTCTATTGATTTCTGCCAGCCATATCTTTTAATTTGCCTTGTTAATCTTCTTGTTACTGCTCTACATCTCTTATATTCTGCAGATATCTCTGGTATGCTTTCCTCTTTCTCGTGATCACATCCTGAATGTGCAAATATGCAAAAATGTGAAATGCAAATATTGAAAATATTGATTATAGATTTAATATCTTAATTAATAAATTAAGATTATCTTTATAGATTTAAATCACAAGGGAAAGCAAAACCTTTGTAAGTCTTTAATTGATCTATATTGTATTGTTTCCGTGTTGTAAATTGGGCACTTGTCTGTACAAATTTCAAAAAAGATAATTTGATTTTGTCCCACTCTCTTTTCAGCTGATATCTATTGGCAGCTAAAACACAATTTTTCACACATATTCTCTTTTTTCGATACCTCATACATATGAACTACGACTATTAGAATATTATAGAAGAGCGAAATCTCATAAACATACTTTTCCATTGAAACATTTCGAGCTTTTTTTAAGAAAATGTCATTTGAGCATATTTAAAAATGTAAATTTTGAAGCCCATTTTTACCCAAACCTTTTGATTTTTTGAGAACCGCATAAGAAATTATTTGCAGCAATTTCAAATACTATTATGCATAAGAAATGTCAGTTATATAAATACTAACATGAAAAATATTTTAAAAAACATGTATTGGTGTAATTTTGGAAAAACAAAAAAAGATAGCTAAATGGCGTTTATGACATCTTATACAATAGATCTATCACTATCCATAAAAAAAAATTAAATAAAAACAATTGGAGCGGTTTTTAAGAAATTGGTATTGGATCATTTTTGAAAATGGGAAATTTTGGGCTCATTTACTCTGAAAACTTGATTTTTTGAGAAACTCACAAAAGCAGTAATGCTAACAAAATGTCAGTAACATCAATATTAATGACGAGACAGATTAAAAAAAACATTTTTGTTAACTTGTAAAAATAAAAAAATACCTTGAAATAGCATTTATGTTATCTTGTACAGTGCATTTACCACTGTCTGCAGAAAAAACTGAAGAAAAAATTTGAAGCATTTTTGAAAAAACTTTGTTTTTAGTATCTTTCAATATTGCTCCTACTTCACTTAAAATTGCTCAAAAAATTATAAAAATTATAAAATGTAAAATGTTTTAATGAAAGAACTAATTATGGAGAATAAATTTCATTTGAAAACAAATCGCTACTTTTAATATTTTAGTTGTAGGAAGCTCACTTCTCAGCTTCTATCCCTTTCGATCTTTCCAGTCTCCATCTTTGAGGTCTCTTGCCTCCATTTCTTCTTTGTTGTTCATAAGAATCTTGACGACCTTGCTCCTACTTTCAGAATCCTTCTTTTCATAAATTTTATCTGGTCTCTCACTTTACAAAAATATTTTGTAAAGTGAGTGAATGATCAAATCATTCCTATAGCAGTAGAGATCTTTTCCATTTACCTTCTTCAGGATATTACTATTTTTAATAAAATATAGTTGGAATTTATGGAAAAAAAAAACATACCTCACCCGTTGACAAATTGAAGACCTCTGTGCAAGTAAAAATATTAAATATGTAACCATTTTTATTATCTACAAATAATTTGACATTTACAATTGGACAAGAGCGGGACTGTTGAATTGGTACTTTTAGTTCTATATCAAGAACTCGTAATTTCCATAGATGAAAACAATATTTTTTTAGAATAGATTCAAAGCATTCTATTAACTGCAAAACAAAAAATTATTAATTCCCAATTGAGTACACAATCAGTAATAAATACACAGAATAATTTTGAAATTTGTTATTAAGAAATGTAAAATATCAATATAATGACAGTATTTATTAATATTTCTTCGATAACATTTAAAATATCATCTTTCCAGAAATAAAGAAAAGTGAAATGGAACTCCTTTCAAATATCACAATTTTATGATCTTACCTCAGTGAGCTCCACAATAACAGTGGAAATGAAATTCACAAATACATGATTACGGTCAACTTTTTTAATGTTAGTACTTGACATTACTACTTCAAGCTCACATATAGCATCTATAAATATTCTTTCTCCTTGTATTTTCACATACTCGAGTGATAGTTCAGATGGCAGGGCACTACGATAAATAAATGTTCGAAGAAAGAAACGAACATCATCCATAGCATTGGTGCTTCCTCTCTGCCAATAAAATTATATAAAAATCAATTAATTTTTGCAATTATTTTACTTCTCATTGTAACACAAAAACCCTCAAGATTTTTCATTTATAAAATCTTATTGTACCTTAATATTGTCTTCAATATTTTACTTTATGAAACACAATTAGGAGAGAAGGAGGAGTAAGTAAGGAGTAAATGAAAAGAAACTGTAAAGAGCAGAAACTATTTGCTCATATCTCTCATAGAATACTTCAACCTATTAATTACCTTTGCAATTCCCATGTATAACTGTATTTTTGGATTCAATGTTTTAATACTCTTTAAATTGTAAGAGTCCATGTTATGTAACTCTAGATGGGATGCCGAAGATGGTTCAATATGTCGATAATACAAATCTTCTTTGAAATCATCATAACTTTTGAAGGTAAAAAATTTGGGGTATTTTTTTTCTCTGTAAAGAATTTTACATCAAATCTTTCACTTTCATGTAAAAAAATAAAATAAAAGAGAAAAAAGAAGAAAAAAAAGCTAGAATCATACTTAGTTAGAAAAATGAAGGTAACTCTCTTAATTTCCATTTCTTGTAAAACTCTTATGAATTTGGTGCAGAAATCTTGACACTTGCTACTAATAACATCATCATCATCATCATCATATTCAATAAACTCAATTGCGATATTCAGAAAAAAATTATGATGATATACCTACAAAAAGTCAATAATTTACATAACTAAGTTAGTAAAAAATTGTCTCTACTAGCTCTATTCTCACCAACTTCAACAGTTTCATTGTAACAAAACATTGATAAAATCTTTTTAAAAATTCAGAATTTTAATAAATTACATGAAAATTTATATACCTCTTCACTTAAATTAGCAAATAAATGTTCATTTTCAGCTGTATACTGATGTTTCATTTCTAATAACTTGTAAACAATTTTCTCAAGCTGAAGGAAACATTTCAGAACAATCATACAACCAATTCCAAAGAAGTTTTCTGTGGCATTTGTGTAGTTTCTGTAGCCTCTGAAATAAAGGTGATTTAGGAACAGTTTTGAAATTTGTGTAAATTAATTTGTGGAAATACAACTACCTGTCCAATGTAGATGGTAGCAAGTAAAAAAATACTGAATTAACGTCAGCAACTATTTCAATATGTTGCAAGCAATGGCGGTGGTAGTTAATATAAACATGATGTACATATACCTATAAATAAAGGAACTATTAGGAAAGGGACAAGTTTTTTCCATACTATCTTTACAGTAGTGTACTTGCCTCAAGAGCTGAAGTGCGAATTTTTATATTTGTATGATAAATGAACTCAAGTAAAGCTTCTAAAATGTAAGCATCACATGATATGAGATTCAACAATTGTGAAGATTGTTTTGGACAGTCCAAAGCAGTCAAAAATATTCCTTCTAAATCATTGTAAATCATTTTATATGTAGGCAGTTGTGCTGATAGAAGAAGCTATTAAAAAAATTAATTATTTATTCAATATGTAATAATTACATTCTTGACGTAAGTCATTCATTGAATACTTACTTTACGAGCCTTGAGAGAAACAGGGAGATGTTCATTTTTCTTTAAAGAAGCTAAATTACAAAGGCTATTAATTAATATTTGTGGCATGTTAGACAACATATTTTCAAAATAATTCAATAGCATTACAACTAAAGAATTTTTTTTTCCAATCTGGAATTGATAAAGTTTCATATAATATTCATAATAATAACCAAGTGTTCAATTGCTGATTATAATTTGAACATACTTATATTCTCCTAGGGAGAAAAGTGAGAAAGTGTCTTATTTCACAAGATATTCACAGTAATGTGGATAATACTCACATGAATATGAGAAAATACATCTGCTGTTACACCTCCATTATTAGTATTTTCTTTTTGTAATTCAGAAATACTTTCATCATATGAATCTGATAAATAAGATCATAAGAAAATAATTCATTTATGGTATTAGTAAGGGATTTTACAATACATTTTATTACAATTTAATAATTTATTTATGTTTATTAAGACATGGCAACCAAAACTTCATATTCTATTCAAACTACAAAACAAAGATGAGAACTCTTACCATTTCTTTTCAATTTCTTTGCCAACAACATTATCAGAAAATGGAGAGCAAAGATTAATCATTGAAGACAACTGAATAGAAAAAACAAATTAAAACTATATTTAAAAGCAGACAATCAATCAATGTTGACTCAAACAGAAAATAACCCACAGAAAGCAGCACATGAATTAAATAACAAAGTGGAAGAATATGAAATGAAAATATCATGTGGGAAAAACAAGAATACAGCCTTTTGGGGCAAAGAATTAAAGAGAGGAAAAGTAGTAATAAATGGAAAAATAATTGAACAAAGGAAGAAATTTAATTACCTGGGAAACATAACCGGACAAGAGCGAGAGGACTTGAATACCAAAAATGAATTTCAAAAGACAAAAGAGGACAGTTCGTACTACTATTACTATGTAATTTGGAAGGATATGAACACAGAGAAAAAATATAGAATATAAAGAATAACAGCATTAACATATGAATCAGAAACCTGGATCATGAGAAGCAGAGCTCTACAAAATTAGAAACGACTCAGACGAGAGTCCCAAGACACATGGCTGCAGCAACAAAACCAGACAGACCTAGAAATCAGAAAATATATAGGAACATCAAAGGAAATGGTTGAAACACATGGAAAGAATAGAAGATAACAGAATTTGAAAGCTAGCACTGAAATACCAACCTGTATGCAGAAGAGAACAAGAAAAAACAAAGAAGAGATGGAGACAACAGGAACACCTGGTGAAATAGCCACAAAGTCTACTGCACAGGAAACACTCCTAATAGTTCATGATGATGATGATGATGACTATGACCACAGTTTTATTACACATTAAAGTTATGTAATTGTAATAGTAAATGTAATAGTTATATGCAGTTAAGTAATATAATGCTCACATTCATTTAATTTGGAACTAATACACTTAGTCTTGCGACTTTAACAATCTGAATTTCACTCTCCCTCTTCCCAGGAGCACCATCTTGAAGTAGCACTGTTTGTGCGAGCAAGGAGGTTTGTGTACATCAGTGAAGCTGAGGGCTATTACACAAGGAAAGTGCTATGTGGATAACATTTTTATGATAAGACAAATGTGTGTGAAAATGGGTCAGAAAGAAAAAGAAAGCATATGACTTAGTGCCTATAAATGAATTGTAAAGAGCACAATAAAATTTTAAAATGGAAGAATTGCTCCTTCAACTCGTAAAGAAAACGTGGATACTCGAACTGTGGTAAAAATCGGAAATATAATTTCCAATAAATTAAAAACTACCAAAGGTTTCTGACAGCGATGTGGTATGTCTCCCACTGTTTTTAAAATTTATTTAGAAGTGGTCCTTAAAGGGTGGAGTGCCTTGGGTCAAGGAATGGGTGCTTTAGAAAAGGGACAAGTAATACATTTGCTACTATTTGCGGATGATCGGGTAATAGTGACTCAAGACAGGGATGATGTGGAATACATGACCCAAAAATAGTACAGGCCTATGTGCAGGGTGGAATTAAATTAAATTTGAAGAAAACAGTATCTGATAGTGCGAGGGGAAGGTACTGAATTGGATTTTCAAGGAGTAGGGAGGATTAAGTTGGTTGAACAATTCAAGTACTTGGGTGCAAAAGAAATTGTAAGGACTGAAAGTTATTCTAATCTGTGGTGTGGTGAATAGAGCTGGACCCTGACAGAATGTCAGAAGCAGAAGTTGTATGCAGTGAAAGTGGAGAGATTACGAAAGAGCTGCCAAATTTTGAGAATGCAAAAAATTGGAAACACAGAGATCAGGGAACAGATGCAGCAAATGGAATCTGTTGTGGATAGATTAGAAAGCAAAACTGCAATGGTACAGCCATCTGAGAAGAATATCAGATTGAAGATGGCCTAAGAATGCCCTTGATTGGTCTCCTCCAGGGAGAATGAAAAGAGGAGGACCTCATAAAACTTGGAATTCACAAAAAATTAAAGTCATGTGTAAAAGAAGAATGGATGATGACTTTTGGGTAGATAGAGAAGGCTGGAACAGGAAAATAAGAGGGAACTGCTGGTAAGTGGAAACACCAATAAGAGTTTTTAAAAAAGTAAGTAATTTTACTTTCAATTTCAATAGTAATTACATCGTATTACCTTTTTGAAAACATCTTTCCACTCTGTAATACTCATTTAATAAACAGCACACAGAAGAAATAAAATTATTTCTTATGCCATTTTTCTGCATATTCATCAACTGCTCTATTCTTTTTGTTGCTTGAAGAAATATGGCTCGATCTTGGGGGAAGGTGAGGTTCATTGCATACCTAATATTTTGAGACAAGAAGTTAATAAAAATGTTTTCTTGATACAGTTTTATGCATAAACAGCCAACAGAAAATAGTTATATTTCTTTTAAAATAATTAATACCTGTTAATTAATTCTGCAATTTTAATTGTGGGAAATTTTACTGACAATGATCCAAGGGTAATTTTATAAGATGCCAAAAGAGAATATATATTCTTCTTAACTTTTTCAGGAATGCAAGTTTCTGAAGATAATATTTCCTGTAAAAAAACATTCTATAATAATATATTTTGTTGACCTTTTCTTTACCAACTAAAAGCTAAATTTTAACTCTACCATTAGTTGATGTATTGGAAGTTCAGGATCTTGTAAAACTTTGACATAAGTTTCAACTACTTTTTGCAAATTAACTTGATTATAAGCATCAGGAATACTGTAACCTGAAGTCACAAAGAATTCATTAATAATTAGATTTTGAATCAGGAGAATATGATGTTATTTAAAAAAATATTGTAATGTTAAATACATGTCACAAGAAGACTTGTGTGGCAGAGATCTCTTTTGATTCAATATTTACCTTTGATGGTATTTTCAAGGATTTGTTTGCATTTCTTAAATACCTTGTTGATAGGACCAACATATGACAAGGTATTTTCCCCATGAAATTGACCTTTGAAATCATTAGCCTTGACAACTAATGATGAATTTTCCAAAACAAGAGTAGCTATAAGAGAACCAGGAGAGAGGATAGCTCCTGGACTCTTAACATGGAAAATATTTCCAGCACATTCTGTTGTTAATGTCAGAACCATTTTCATTACCTATGAAACAGTTAACTTCTTTGAAATTGCATGTACACGTTAAAAGTTACTTAGAAGGTCACATTACTCATCATATTAATAAAGTGCATAATACAAGTAAACAAACAAATAAGTGACAAATTAGTTAAGTCTTTGTTAAGCCTAGTGCTGAGAGGCGCACTAGGCTTTGTAAATAATGAGTCATTGTTATCTACATTTCCAAGTATTTCCAATCTGTGGCATAAAATTTTTAATTATGTACCTTTAAATAAAAGGAATGTCATTAAATAGAATCTCAGAGCTACAAAAGGTTAATGTTTGGAAGTCTGTAACCTAACTGTTTACTTAGCATTCTGAAATAAATCAGATAATAATAGCCACCAGAGTTTGGGAAAAATACAAACTTTGAAAGGGTCTGATTATGTACTGCGTTGTTTGTTTATTTTTTTTTCTTTCAAAAATGTCCATCTGGCTGTCTGATTATCCACCTCTCTGTGAATTTGATCATTTGAGAATAACGCTGGGGCCAATACAGTTCACTAGTACAGAGTATACAGTTATATACTTTCTGCAGTTCACAGAATATTTAACTGTCTCTTTGTTGTGTAATTAGAAATAAAACTAATATTTTAGTACCTCAATTTCAGCATAAGGCTGATCAGGTGTAATGTATTCTCCATTTGCAACTAAATAATTTAGTAACTTGCCAGCTGTAGGTGCTAAGAGTAAAGATGGATCATTTTCTTTTTCAAAATAGCATGTTTTATTATCTACAGTGACACTGAATCGATTGCCTTGATCATTCATGTAGGTTGTAAAGCTTTTACCAGATATCAAAATAAGAATTCCTGTAATAAAGAAATTCAACAATTAGTAATAAAACATCATCAGTGTGTAGTAACTACAAGTAAAAGTATCACTAAACCAAAAACTGAATTTTGAGACAAATCACTTGGAAGTTGATTCTATTTAATTCATCAACTCAATATCTCTTGCTAGAGAGGAGATAAAATCTATTGTTTTCTTGACACACTTTAATACATAATATTGATTTTAGGGGAGAAAAAAATAGGAAATGTTTTTTATTTTTATTTGGGGTGTTCTGGGACTTAATGAAGGTTCTCATCTACCTGATATTTAAAACTTTTATTTGCTGTATACATATCTGAATTTAAACATGTTTACTTATAGGATTAAGTATTAACACTTTAACTGCTACAGACAATGTCACACATCTTACGTCATGTTTCTTGCTGCAGGCCTCGTGAGCAGAGCTCGCTTACACATATATATCATGCATAACATTTTAGTTATCAGTAAGTCATAGCGATAGTAGTAAGCGTGTTTGCACGAGAGAACTTATCCACAGGCTCCCAGTTCATCATGGTTCTGTGTAAATCCCGGCCACTGGCTCCCAGTGACAAGCTAACTGAGCATAATAACTTGTCCAGAGGCTACCACACATGGAAATATTTTTCCATATCAACTCGTCTTGAGCAGTCAAAGAGTTAACAAAGTCAAAAATATTTATCTTCTAAAAATTTAAATTATTTTATCCAATATTCCCTTTTTCTTTCCAAAACAGGGTATGATTTGTAACAAAATAACTCATGTACCATTTAATATTTGTTGATGATTCTTTTTAAACATTTTTATTTGGATTATACTTTAGGGCCTGAACCTAAATTTGAAGATCGATAAGTGTCTTGTATGTACTTTACAGGGATTTGAATCCAAACTTTTAAGAAACAGTGGTAACAATATCAATTGACCAATTAATTCATTATTACCAATATGCCTTTTCTACAACAGTTTCAGATGTAGGCCCAAGGATGAACTTTCTCCTATTAAATAAGAAATGAATCATAAAGGTATCTTAAAAATTATAAGATTTATGATGTTTCAAGTCAGGCCTAATGAGAAAAAAAGTAACTTTAGGGAAAAGCCATTTAAATTTCATTAGCTCTAAAATGGTAGCTGTGAATACTAGATTCCTAGCTAAAAGAAATTGTCTCAAAATGGATATTCTACTTTTGATGTGACAACATAAGGACTTTACAATAGTGTAAATTGCATTTTAAAAATTTCTCTCAAAATAATCATGTTTCTTTATATTCAGTGATCATGGCCACCTGTACTGAAATACCCGTGGGACATGGCATATGCGTGCGCCTTTGGAAAAGTACACATAAATAAAAAACTAACAAACTTAGAATCAAACGTTTTTAAACAATGAAAACTACACATCTCAGTGCACAAACTGAAACAATAAAAAAAAATTAATATTTTTCCTTGAAAAACAACATTTTGTTGTAGACAAGTACCTTAAGAAAAAGGAAATAATTGATAATTTTGTTCATCCAAACTCCAGGACCAATAACTTCATTAACTGAAAGAATAGACAAATGTGACATACTGAAACACTAAATACGAACTTCACTTGTATACTAATGATACGTAAATAAAATTATACCTGAAATCGATACATTAGTAGTTTCTTCAATATAAGAGATAATATTTAATATAATCTATATAATTAATATAACACTATCAACAATAAGACATAACTTACCTGAATCAGAGAGATGTTCTAGTTCAACTTGCTGATGAGAATTATTCATAAATAAAATAATTGAGTTATTTCCTGTTTTGAAAGCATCTATTCTGTACTTAATATTCTCGTGAATCAATTCAACGTTCACAGAACTCAGTAGAGCCCTGGGATTTGGAATCTGTCCCCTGAATAAAATATTTCAAAATAAATTAAACTGAATAATTCACTTAGCAAGAAGCAAAGAAATGAAAAAACATTTGAAAAGATTTTAAAAACTTTTACTTGTCTAATAATGTCTGGAAAGAATCGAGTGCAGCCAAAAATTTTCTTTCTGATATATGCACTGCTCCACATATTACAGCAAGTAAAATATCTGGTTTAATAGCCTGAATGTTTTTTGATATAAGGATATCTAACCACATTGTATCAACACAATTGTTTATGAATTGGGGCATTTCTAGTAATTTGATAAGACATCCCACAATTGTTTGAAAATCAGCACGAATAACCATTTCTTTAAGAGCAATTACAAGATTTCTGAAAAGCAAAATGTTGAATAATTAGTACGCATATGCATAATAAGCATATTTGTTATAAGAAAATCACATTTAAAAAAACTTACAATCTGGCTTCATCTCTGTTTCTTCCCCATGAAAAACAATGACCAAATTGAGAATCAGCAAATTCATGAAGTGATCCTGAAGCAGATACACTAAAATATGCCCAAACATTCTTCATTGAATTGAAAATAAGCTCTTTAATTAAGCCACCACTAGGTTTGAAACCTATAACATGAATATAAAAAAAGGATTAACAAAAGTATATAGGTAGGTAGTTACAGTTAACTTCAATAATTAAATTTTACAAGAGAATGGAATCAGATTTATAAATAGCCCACAAATGCTTCAATAGCTCAGTAAAACAGCAGTAGGTTGGTGGTAGTTCATAGATGCATTTCAGTGCAGAGAACAGTAAATAATATCAATGTAAAATTCACCTCACTCTTTGAAGTTTCCCCATATTTTCTCCTAAAACAATTTTCAGCATTATTTACCCACAGAAAAGATAAAGAATTCTATAAAGATTTTGTTTTATTTATTTGAAATCACATAAACGGTTAAAAAACTGTGTGACATACCATGGGGAGAAGTGCAATCTGTGCACAATTTCTTCAGCTCTGGGAGCTCTGTCCCAGATAGCCATATAGTACATATTAAGTTAACTCATGAATACTGGTAGCAAAGGGCATTTTTGCCAATAATTTGTTTGAAAACATTCACTTCCGTGTAACAAAAACTATTAAGGTAAATCAAGTACAGATTTTGGCAACTATCCCTAGTGTTTAATGTGAAGAAATTGACTTTCAGCAGGGAAAAAATGTGGAATGATTATTTGAATAACTACATTCCCTACAGAGCACAAGAAAATGTGCACTGATAGTGAAGCTACATTTACAAAATGTTTGGAAATAAACTAGATTGAAAATTCAAATTTTGGAATGGCTAACCTATGTGAATGAAGAGAATGAATGATTTCAATTGATGATATTGAAGATAATTAAGCAATTCTAAAAATTTCAAGAAATGCAACTCATGAAACTTTTGTATTGTACACGTTTTGTAACACATATATGAGAGTATGCTTGGAAGACAAATTTTTGGAGGTCAATCACAATTACAGTTGGAAATAATGTGACAATCAACTCCCAACTCGCACATCATCTTCCTTTACTGAGAGAAGAAAGATTTCCACAGGCAAAACATTTTATGTCAAAGGAAACGGAAAGCACTGTTTCATCAGCCAATTAAGATTTTTATTGTGCAAACCATTTGATATAATTAACATATCTAACACAAGAAGAAAGAGAAGAAAGAAAAGAAGAGGAAGAAGAAGAGAGACAGAAGAAAAAGAAAAAGAAGAGGAAACAGAGGAGGAAAAAGAAGCAGAAAGAAATGGGAAAGAAAGAAGAAAGAAAGAAAGGAAAGAAGAAGGAAGAAGAAAGTAAGAAAGAAGGAAAGAAAGAAGGAAAGAAAGAGGGAAAGAAGAAAGAGAAAGAAAGAAGGAAAAAGAAGAAAAAGAAGGGAAAGAAGAAGAAAGAAGGAAAGACAAGAAAGAAAGAAAGAGAGGAAGAAGAAAGAAGGAAAGAAGAAAGAAGAAAGAAAGGAAAGAAAGAAGGAAAGAAAGAAGGAAAGAAAGAAAAGAAGGAAGAAAAAAGAAGGAAAGAAAAGAAAGAAAGAAAGAAAGAAAGAGGAAAGAAAAGAAGAAAGAAGAAAGAAAAAAGGAAAGAAAGAAGAAAGAAAGAAGGAAAGAAGAAAGAAAGAAAGAAGGAAAAAGAAAAAGAAGAAAGAGAAGGAAAGAAAAAGAGAAAGAAAGAAAGAAGAAAGAAAGAAAGAAGGAGAACAAGAAAGAAAGAAGAAAAAAAAGAAGAAAGAAAGAAAGAAACAAAAGCGAAAGAAAAAGAAAGAAGAAAGAAAGAAAACAAGAAAGAAGGAAAGAAAAGAAGGAAATGAAAGAAGGAAGGAAAAAAGAAAAGAAAGAAGGAAGAAAGAAAGAAAGAGAAAAGAAGAAAGACAGGAACAGAAGGAAAGAAAAGGAAAAAGAAAAGAAGAAGAGGAAATGAAAATGGAAAGAAAGAAAGAAGGAAAGAAAGAAAGGAAAGAAAGGAAGAAAAGAAAGAAGAAGGAAAGAAAGAAAGAAAGAAAAGAAAGAAGAAAAGAAAGAAAGAAGAAGGAAAGAAAGAAGAGAAAGAATGAAAGAAAAGAAAGAAGAAGAAGAAGAAAGAAAGAAAGAAGAAGAAAGAAGAAGAAAGAAAAGAAAAGAAAAAGAAAGAAAAGAAGGAGAAAGAAAGAAGAAAGAAAGAAGGAAAGAAAGAAGAAAGAAAGAAGAAAGAAAGAAGAAGAAAGAAAGAAAGAATGAAAGAATGAAAGAAAGAAAGAAAGAAAGAAAGAAGGAAAAAAGAAAGAAAGAAAGAAGGAAAGAATAAGAAAGAGAAAGAAAGAAGGAAAGAAAGAAAGGAAAGAAAAGAAGGAAAGAAAGAAAGGAAAGAAAGAAAGAAAGAAAGGAAAGAAGAAAGAAAGAAGAAAGAAGGAAGAGGAAAGAAAAAAGAAAGAAAGAAAAAATAAGAAAGAAGAAAAAAAGGAAAAAGAAGAAAGAAGGAAAGAAGAAAGAAAGAAGATAAGATGGATAAGAAAAAAGGGTATTGTCTTTGATCAATCTTCCATCTTTCTGGAAAGAAAAAAATGTTATTGATAAAATTCAGATTGTTTTGTAAAGTATTGCATTGAGCAATGTTATGTAAAATATTGCAAATATTGCACATTATTGCCTATTGTTATCTGTGAACCCACTTAAGAAATTTAATTTTGAAAACTAGATTAATTTACAGTCATTCTCACTATAATATTTGCATATATTTAACCCAATAAGTTTTAATAACAGAATTAAGATAATTTTTGAGGAAAATCATTTTTTTTTTTTTTTTGAAAAGTAAGTGTGTAAGAATTATTGAATCAGGGTCTCAATAAAAACTAAAAGGTTTATGACGTATTTATTGAAACATAGTTAGCTGGAGTCAGTATCTACTAGGTTATACACGAGACACGGCGTCCTGGGCACATGTGTCAATGTTGCAGCTATGATGCTGTAACCTTGCTCAGGGTGAAATGCCCTGGGGAAGGGAAGTGATTTTTGTCTTTGTAACTAATGCATACCATTGTCTGGATCTTCACATGTAATCCTTGCAGCTATGACATGTCCTTGCTTGCGCGGTTTATGACGCGGATTTCCCCAATCAATTGGAGCTGCGTCAGAAATGGATTCTCCGTAGAAGAGCCTAATGTCCTGGATTCTGTGTAGTGGAATCCCCATAGCTATCTGAAAAATACAAATTTTTGTATCACCTAATTTAATTTCCATTAAATTGAAGATAATAGTACTCATTCTAGAAATAAATAAATCGTATCTCGGGTATCCATTGTATTTCAAATATTGCTCATAGTCAGGTACACTGGTCATTCCATGTAAAGTGATATAATTTTGGAGAAGTGCCCCGCGCAAGTATCTCGGATTTCGATGAAATTGTGCATGTTGAGTTACACATATATAAAAGGAACATTTGTGAAGTTGTAGCTGTTCATAGTTGAGATAGGTGTGAAACATAGCGGTTTGTTTCACTCCATGCAGCATCGCTGTTCTCTGTTAATGCTAAACAGATGGAACAGCTGTTTTTACGTTTTACTTTCTCGCGTGCAGCTTACGCACTGGAGAAAAAAGTATTGAAATGTGGCAAATAACCGGCGATTTTTCGATTTTGTTATTGCCGAGATCTGGTACCGAAAAAGTAGATTAATTTTAAACATATTAATAAGTGTTTACATGAAACTGACTCACACCAACCGTTCCCTGCACGTGGGCTGTCAACATCACCCGGCAAGAAAACGGGGAGGTTTGAAAACTGAACTCTGGCCATCAGAGCAACTAGGATGTGTGATGAGGAATCCTTAGACTGTGAAACGGTGCTCCTCAAGAGCATTTTTCGAGTTAACGGATATCGTGCTAATGCCGCCAACTGAGATGTGACACTACACTAAGTGTGTGTCATTCTACCCTATATATATATACACACACACACAAAGGGGCATTGACAAAATTAGCAAAGCTTTTGAGCAGCTTAAACGAAAAGACGGCCTACAAAGCCAATAAAAAAAATTCCGGCAAAAGCTAGTATGCGTTAATAACCGCGTCCTCCCTCCTTTGTCATTATGGGTATGTAAGATCCCATGCAGCTGAAACCACAGTTTCATCGGAGAGACGCGGCGAAACATTGACGAACGCCCCACTGAAAACATTCGACACTACATATATAATGTAAATAAATGCCGATCAGGGTCGCAGAGATAGCTAGTAGTGCCATGGCAGTCTTGGATAGAAGGATCAGCGAAGTATCGAGGGGTCGAGTCCCACCTTGGACATGGTTGTGTTTGTGTGTGTCTCTGTATGTTTGTGATTATCCATTTCATCCTTCATCATAGATAATACCACGAGTGCTTTGAAAATTGTCAACAACATTCCTGCCTCGCGAAACGAGGAGGGGATTTATCTCAGAATTTCCAAAGCACGAGTGGTATTTAATAGGATTACTCCACGAGTGAAGTTACGCCCAACAGTTCCAAAATGGGTGAAATATTGAACTGAAAGCTATATTAAAATCAAAGATGTTATGTTATATTACACACGCTGTTTTTTGGATATCGGTATAACCATCGATGTATAATGCCTCCTAAAATAGATAAGTCACAGTTTATGAATGGCCAGTAGGGAGAAGCGGTGAGAAAAATCGGATAGAAAAAGCGATAAACTTTTTGAGATACACTACCCTGATTGGGGAATTTTGTATGTATAGTTGAACACTATTGGTTTTAATTTCACGAGTGGAATAGTCATTACAATTTCACCTCAGAGAGAGAGAGAGGAGAGAGAGAGGAGAGAGAGAGGAGAGAGAGGAGAGAGGGAGGAGAGAGAGAGGAAGAGAGACGGCAGAAGAGGGAGGGGAGATGAGAGAGGAGAGAGAGGAGAAGAGAGGAGAGAGAGAGGCGAGAGAGAGGGAGAGAGGGGAGATGGAGAGCAGCACGAGGAGAGAACGGAGGCGAGAGAGGAGAGAGAGAGGAGAAGAGAGCGGGAGAGAGAGTGAGCAGAGAGAGGACCGAGAGAAGGAGAGAGAGGAGGAGAGAAGAGGAGAGAGGAGAGGAGAGGAGGAAGAGAGGGAGAGAGAGGAGAGAGAGGAGAGAGTGGAGAGAAGAGGAGAGAAGGAGCGAAGAGAGAGGAGGGAGAGAGCAGAAGTGAGAGAGAGAGGAGATGAGAGAGGAGAGAGAAGGAGAAGAAGAAGAGAGAGAGACGAGAGAGAGGAGAGAGAGTTGAGAGGAGAGAGAGAGAGAGAGAGAGAGAGAGAGAGAGAGAGTAAACATTTCATTGGGTGCAAGTAAGAATAGAGTTATTCAGAAGTGAGCTGTAGAGCTGCGAGAAATTAAAAAGATGAACAGTATTTATTTTGAAGCAATAAAATATTACGGTGAGAATTGATTGAATTAGTGGAAAGAGTGGGACAAGGAAGTATAGTAGCCGCGAGAACGAGGACCGCGAATTATTGCAAGGCATTTATAGAACTGTATACTTAACAACACAAGCTCAAAGTGTTGAAGAGAACTCCGTTAGCAGTTACGCGTAAAGACTAACACGCGTCGGCGTGCTGCTAGACAAGTGCAGCGGAGGAGGAAGCCTAAACGTGGATTCTGATGCCGGGTGAGAAGGGAGAGGGGACCTGTGTTTTAGAGGCGGCAACACGAACACAGCGGTTTCGAGTGAAATTGCGGACGTCTGGTCTGCAGAGGAGCGACCGTGCGGCCGGAATTTGGATCAAGGTCAGGCGTACGACGAACAGAGGTCGGCACAATCCGCAGCTGAGAGCGCCACGGCAAAGGTAACAGAATCTGTAACGGGAACCTAGGAAATTCATTCTAAATAGTTGTGTGATCTCATAAGTAATTGTATTACTTATTAGCATTCATTCTGAGCTGAGGAAATTTAACACAATATAAGAAATAATTTCATTTGTTTTGTGGTGATTCAGCAAAGTAAAGTGACATTTTATAAACGCTGCTGGCCAAGCAACGGTGCACGGGATTTCCTAGAACGCAGTTCATTTGAATGAATGAATCATTTAAAGTATTAAAGGAATGTTTGTAATTTCCCAAGGTTGCAAATGGGTGATTACATTTCTAAGGGATATATTTGAAAGTGTTGTTTGTCATTTGGTTTTGTATTGGTTCAGTGCCCGTTGTAAATTATTTTATAATTTGAAGAATATAGTACTGATTTGCCTATTTGTGTGTCTTGGGGAAACTTTTTTACATCCTAAAGATCCTGCCCCCTCACATCACAAAGCTCGTCTGTATGTATGTGTGTATATGTGTATATGTATATATGAATATATGTGTATATATATACATATATATATATATATACATATATATATATATATATATATATATATATATATATATATATGTATGTATAGCCGTAGCCTTCTACGCATGGAAAACTGGCCATTCCATTCTTTTCTACAACGCCCACTTTCTAACCAGTTAAGATTGCTGGGGACCGAGGAAGGTAAAACGAGGTTGTGGAAAATCTGAAACATCCCAAAACCCCAACGCTGTGCAAGGTCTGGAAACATCTATTTTACCACGAGCCCCGGTAGTGGCAGTTTTGATTGCCGAATTTGCGTTGATGCACGAGTATTAGCTTAAGTTTTCTCACCTAATACACTGCGCGAGTGGTAGACTACTATATGAAGGAAACGTTTTTTTACAATTACTGGTTGGCGACCGTTAGCAGATATCCGAAAGTTATGTCCATGTGCTCAATTTGTTAATGCGCTCGTTTGCAGTTGGCTTGCTTTTGGATGCCACACTACCTCTTGCAATGTCATTGTCCAGCATGACATTTTCTTGTTTTCCGACCTGTCTGACGAGTCCCCTCATAGACTAACGTCTTTGTAATGTGTTTCACAACTGATGGCTAAAATGTGTTAATAAGGACATACATTTCTGTTTTGTTAATGTTATGTAACCATCAGTTTGGGGAAAAGGACGTGCTATTATGTCTAGTTACTTTCTTTCGTACTGTGTACGCAGTATTAAGTAACGTAACACTGTGGAAGGGGTTAACTGGCGAATTTCCAGAGAAATACTCTTAATATCGAGCCCTAATAACGAAAAAGTGAGTAAATCTTGAACTGGTAAATCAATTCCTTTAACACGTTGTGTAGTCAGAATCCACGTTATGTGGGTCCTTTATAACGAAAAATTGGTTTACGCTATATGTTTCTGTCCGTCCGTCAACTTGTGTCGATCCGTCCGTTGAGAACAGCACTAGTGGTTAAACCATACGTAGGATTTTCAGCAAAATTGATAATTTCCAAACGATGACTGATGTCGCAGCCCCTTGAATCTGAGACAGTTTTATTTTGGGGAGCACTTTACATTATGCCTCAATATTTTCAATTTTGTTTCAAAATTACTCCAAATTGTTTCTTTATAATTTTCCCTCGAATACAGGAAAAGACGCTTCAAAAAGCTCGATAGTTCGCATTTTCGTTGACATCTTTAAATTTTAGAAAATTGCAAAAGGTTAAATTTTTTAACTAGAACTACAATATTGAAGATTTATTTTTTCCTTAACGGAATCTTTTAATCAAAAAATCTTTTTAATATATGGTTATGCACAATTGTTTGAAAATATGAGTTGTGTGCGCGTAATTTTGCTTGAAATATGGACCAGTTTAAACAATTATTTTCTTAACAACTGCACAAAATATGTTCTTTAAATGTTTTCTTCGGATGTAGCAAAGAAGGATAAAGTAGTGGTCGCATTTTCAATGAACTCTCTGTATTTATCTGCATACATTTTTTGATACTTTGTTCTAGTTTTGAGACACTTTCTTCAAAATATTTTCTCGACATTACGTTCTTTGGGGTGAGATGCACAAGGCGCGGGAAGCGTGCCAGTGAGGTGTTGCTCTGCAAACCAACTGACGGCTGACACGCCTCGCCAGAACACACAGGGCCATGTGCACACATGAAGTCTATTCAATTTGGTTCAACGGCAACTTTAATAAAAATGCCGGTTTACCACTGATGAACATAGGAACATTCAGAAACTGCGAACATCTAAGCAAAATTCAAATATGGAAAAGTTATTAAAGTAAATTTTGCTTCTAAATGTATGATTCGTTTGAAATTCAGAGAGTACCAATTAAATTTGCGTTAACTAGTTCAAACAGGCGATTTCTGCTATCATCTGTTTGTACCATTCTACTTAACGTACTACTTCTTTGTAGCCCTCGATCATCAGTTATTGACGATAGGGTTGCTAGATCTAATTCTTGCATTGGAATTGATAAAGGAAATGTCATTTACCATAAGACATTGCAAAATCGTCAGCTTAAAAACTAAATGACTGAAAATGAAGCAATTTAGTTGGTTGTAATTAAAATCCGCCGTCACGAACAATGTCTTTTAACTTTGTCTCTAACTCCAACTCTTTGTGGACCAGTGTTGAGACATTTAACTGCTGTATACACATCAAGCGACGCGGCCAAAATGCGCAGCTCCGCAAGGCGGGAGCAACCAGCGCGGGCGCCAGTGCCAGGGCCCCTTGCCCCGCCCACAAGGGCAGCCCTACACACAAACACAAACCTCGCTGGCAATGGATTCACCACAATCTATAGACGCGAGCTTATACACACTCACAAAACATATACAAACAGCTCACAGAAAGGCGACGCCGGTTTTCTGGCCCCAGCGCGAACATTGCTCACATGCTCTTCCTCCAGATGTCGAAGAGCTTCTGCGCCAAGAACAAGGCGCAAAGCAAGGCGACTTCGGCAGCAGTTTAGGTGCCCTGCGGCGCTCGCAAATCATCACGCACCCAAGGGAGAAAAGCGGTTGGAAGAGATCGGTTCTGATCATTCTCGAAAGGCCTTTTTTACCTCCAAAAAGCGCTCAGATCAGTAGCTAAAACCACAACCATAATACGTGGTCACGACAATGCGGAGGGTAAACCAACATACCTCTTCTCAGATCAAGCACAGGCAGAATTCTTTGCCGACGTACTTGAACGAGAGGTTTGTTAACAACTACACAGGCGGTGGATGGGGAGGAAACACACACATTGCACAGTCGAGGAAGTTTCCACTACAATTAAATGCTTGCGTAGTCGTAAGGCTCCGGGCCCTGACCGGGTAGGCCCTCCCGTTCTTAAGGAGGTCCTACCAGCCATAAGCACGGAGTTTACGCGAATCCATAACGGCTGCATTACACAGCGGAACTTTCCAGAAAATTGCAAATGCGTAAGTATCTCCATGGTTCCGAAACCCTGTAAGGATCTCGCGAGAGCGGCGGGCCACAGGCCAATACGTCCCCTCCCTCTTACGGGGAAAGTATTCGAGAGGCTTCCACCCTCGTGAATTTTGCCAACTGCTCTCTCACGGAACCTCATCCGAGATGAACAGTTTGCCTTCAGACCTGGCCATTCCGCTTCACTACAAGCACTTGGCATGGCTCAGCAAATTTCCGCTGATCTGTTACTCACACAGGATGTTCCTGTCATATATCTCGACATGGTTCAAGTCTTTGACAAAGTGCCACACAGTACACTCATCACAAAACTTCGGCGCTGCCTTACAAAAGAAATGGTATGTCAATGATATCCCACGTATATCACGAATACGCTTTTTCCATTACGCTCATGTCACAGCCGTCTTAGCAAGAGGAATAAACCTAGACCACAAATTGACAATACTTAAAAAACAGATAAACCTGACACTGAAGTGGACGGAACACAACCACTTGACATTCTCTACGGAAAAGTCGCAAGCAATCCGTTACACTCGCTGCAAACACGCGTACATTAAATGTTTCATTCCACCAAAACAAAATTATACTTCGCACACAAAAACTGACATGGGCGTCTAAGGCAACTTATTTAGGCTTCGCTTTTGATCGAAGGATACGCTGTCATATACATGTCAGGGGAATTCGATCAAAATTTCAGCACACAGTTCGTCTCTTTCAACCTCTTTTGAGGGAACTTACACTCCCCTTCGAACTTCGCTCGTCACACCATAAAACGTGTTGCCGGCCTGTGGCCACCTACACTGCGGCAACGTGGTAGACCACAGCACAGAGGTACAAGGATACACTTAGGATGGTACAGAACAAAGTTCTACGTCTCATAGCGCGCCCTCCGTTTCGGAAAAAGGTTGAAAGTACTGAGGAAGGAACTTGACATCGAGTCCACTCAATGCTCGAGACGGCTTTCGTTTAAAGGAGCCTCTCAAGCCTTGCAAACCAACAAAGCCCCGGCAACGCTAAAACACGTCCTCATCGCCCTCCCACGTCAATATTAGATTCATTCAATCGTCTATTCAATATTACTCACTACTTGAGTTGGAATTACTCCAAATCTATTCAATTTTGCAGTGAATTAACATACATTTTGTCTAGAAACGTTAAAGTAATATATTCAAAAATACATCTGTTGGTTTCAATGAACTCAAAAACCAAATAAAGTTATTTTCAACTAACATTTTACAATTAATTGAAAAGTTAACAAATTCATGATCTCGAGAAAGACTTTCATTTCCTTAATAAATTTATTTTAACAATACGACCAACAAAGACGAAGAGCAAGTAGGAGCACAGGCCACAAAATAAAAAAGGTTGTCACACCCAAAGACTTCACATGTCTCTCTATGTACGTTGACGTGACAAGTCTT